AGCTGGTTTTGGTTGTCAGCAGCAAAACTGGTTGATCCACTCTGAGAAGGTGCTATTTAAGAGACTGAGCTGAAAACAGCGCCTCAGACTGAGGAAGTCTCTTGGATGAGAGACGAAACGTTTCTACATTTTTTGTTGATTTGCTTTGTTTTGTTTTTTTGAATCTCCAGAGGACCAGATTTAACTTTTTTAGATACTTGTACTACTATTCCTACTTTGCAGTTTTTCACTTCTCGCAGGTCTTCAGGGTACGCATCCCCCACGATAAACGAGGGACTACTGTATTTCAAACTCTATTGTTTTTATAAACCTACCTGCAAACTTTACTCAGCCAGTCTGAGCATAAATACATCAAAACTGTCAAACTTCTCAATTCCAAAAAGCTTTTCCGAGAACGGCTCATCGTCAACTGATTTTCAGTAGGTAAACAAAAGCACATGATAATCAACATCCAGTCACAAATGTATTTATTTAAGGGTGCACTGACCATCAATATGTATATATATATATATTTTTTTTTTAAGTGTACATTTTGTTTTTTATGATTTTTTTTTGATTTTTGATTTTTTTTCAGTTGATCTTAATGATGGAGACCAAAACTCAGATTTTTCCTGACATAAGAGGTTTTTTTTTTTGAGCAAGGGAAAAGTAACTAGTTAACAAAGAGAAACCGCAACACCAGGACTTGTAAGAATTGTGAATCTCTTCATCAGGCTCTGGAGAAGAACCAGCAGTGGCTGGTCTACGACCAGCAGAGAGAGGTCTACGTTCAGTCTGTTGTTGCTCGCACGCTGGATCTGGAGCAGCAGCTGACTCAGGCCAAGCAGCAGCAAACCAACACAGAAACCACTGCAGAGGGTAAAACCATCCGACAGATACCTTCAAACTGTTTCACAGATTATAAGTAAACTTTTTTAAATTAACAACATGAAATAAAGTTGGCCATTTTAATATGCAAGTACAACTTTTTACTTTGTATCTTACAACAAAACAAAACAAAACAAAAAAAATCTGATGAACTTTATATCTAAATTAAGGCAGTGCTTCACTTAAATGTGCCACAAAGGCGTTCCTAAGACAGAGCATCATATTTCTCTTTAACAGAATGTCTAATTTGGATTTAATTTCCTAAATAATTCCTCTGATCTCAGCTTCTACCAGTTCTCCGAGTGCAGAAAAGGACTCTGAGCAGAAAAGCCACTTCGAGGAGTTGGTTTTGAAGCTGCAGAGAGAGCTGGAGAGCCAGAAAGATCAGACTGCCAAAACCAAACGGGAGCTGAATGTGGAGAAGGAAGAGGTCATCTTTAAAACTCCTACTGACATTTAATCGTTGAAACTATTTAATTTGCATGCGGTGGTTTGTGCTATAAACGGTAATGATAAATTTTGTCGTGAACAAATTGTTTAGCGTTCCCTGTTTTGAAAAGGCTGAATCAGTATGCAGCTGAACGGCCTTGGTTTGCTTTGATTCAGACGTCTTTATAATTGATAACCGAGTTAGACAGAAGACGTGAGCTGTTGTGCCGTTTGTTCTCACTGCCTCTGCAGGCCTTGAAAGCTCAGGCTGAGCTGCGGCGTCAGAAGGAGCAGGTCTGCAGGGGCCAGGAGGAGATGTCTGCGCTGCAGAGGAGGTACGAGGACAAGTGCAGCGAGTTGTCTGCCTTCCTCGGGAAGTACGTAGCCAAGAGCAAAGAGCTGGACGAGGCCGGGGTTCAGCTGCAGGCGGAACGAGTTGGCAACAGGTGACATCATCGTGCTGGGCTGGCTCATATCTGCACACCTGAAAAATAAACTGTTCATTAAACTGAGCTGTGCTGGAGGCATGTGGTCATAAAATGCTGAATATTGCATTAAACACATTATTGTAGGAATTCACCTTTCATTTGCAACTGTCTGCAATAAATGGGTAAGTATCACTTTATTAACACAAGTGACAAACATGCAGACATGCAGCAAATGAAGAAAGAAAGGTGTCTGAGCGGGCGGACCGAATGAGAGCTGAGCTGGACAGTGTGGAAAGAAAACTGGAGGAGGAGAGGAAGAGATCTGCTGGGCTTCTGATGCAGGTGAGACTTCCCATTTGTCCTTTTTTACGTTTAGTCTTTCTCACAACTGTTTCTTGGGGAGTTTATTTGCTTATAATGCAGAATAGGAGGTGAAAGCCTGCATTAATCAAAAAATAGATTTGTCTAAATCCCTAGTTTAACAGGACAGAATGCATGGTAATTTATTCTATAAATGTACTACACGATAAATTGACTTTACATTGATAATTTGTCTTCACAGATTAATATGCTGCAGAAGTCTCTGCTGAGCCAGAATGAAGACGGGAAGAGAATCGCAGCACTGGAACAACAGGTAGCAACTGCTGCTGAATCCATTCAAGTTTATAAAGGACATTAAGCATAGCAAAGATCCAATACAAACCATTTGTTTAGTTGTAAGTGGTGCAGCTCTGAACGTTCCCATTCTTGTCCTCCGCTAACGTCACTGCTTCTCCTAAGGTCCAACTTTCTGCCAAGGACTTTGAGAATGAAAAGCTCGATCGTCAGAGCCTCCAGCAGCAGCTGCATAAAGTGCTGAAGGAGCTTCGCAAAGCCCGCGATCAGATTGCTAAACTGGAGTCTGCTGTAAGTGTCAACCAGCCATCAATTTTTAAATTTTACAGATATGAAACGCACAACTGCGTGCTTTAAGTTGGAACTGGGAGAGGAGCTCTTTGTCTTGTTACTGTTTCGTTAAACATCTTTAGATTGGCTTATAAACAGAAGTGTTTAAATTATTATGCCTTTATGTGAAAGCCAAAAGGCAGATGGAGGAGTTTGTTATTTTAATTAAAAACTAGAGAAATTGCATTTCCTGTGAAAATGCAATGAGAGTGCTTATTGTTGAATAACTTGTTGAAAAACAGCTGAAATTAGCTACAAGCATGCTGAAATGGAAGAACAAGCCTAAGTTACCAGAAGAAAACAGAACACATATTTGCTGAATTTGATTTAAATAGGCAGAAATGAGCACAGAAATTAGTAAATTAGCTTTACCAAAAAGCTGAAATTAGCAAGAAATAGCTGAAAAGTAGCTGAAATGACAGAAAGAAGCTTAAATTACCAGAAGGAAGTGTAGAGCACAACTGTGCCCAGTGAGGCTGAAAGAAGAAGAAATGAACACAAAAAAGGGAAACTCGGCTTAAGAAATCAGAAATTTGCAAATAACAGCTGAATAGTAGCTAAAAAAAAAAGGGGGGGGGGGGGAGACGAGGTTTAAATTGCCAGAAGGAAGCAGAAAGAACAGGTTTGCCCAATTAGGCTGAAATAAGCAGAAATGAACAACAAAAAGTGGAAATTGTCTGACAAAAAACCTGAAATTTGCTAAAAACAGCTGACTAGTAGCTCAAGAAGCCGAAAGAAGCTTACATTTCCAGAAGGAAATGGGGAGAGCACATTTTTGCTGAATTAAGCTGAAAAAAGTTGAAATGAGCACCAAAAAAAGTGGATTCAGCTGAAAAGGCTAAAATTAGCATAAAAACACCAAAATAGAAGCTGAAATGGCAGAAATAGCTGAAAGGAGCATGAGCTGAAATTAGCAGAAAGAAGTTGGAAGAAGCATAAAATGTTGTAGTTAGCAGAAATAATTTTAAAGGAGCATAAAATGGATGAGAAAACGGCTGAAATTAACTAAAAGCAGCTAAAAATTGTTTACATTTGCACAAGGAAGCTGAAAGAATCTGAACCAGAACAAAATGTGAAAGGAGCAGTAAAAGGTTGTGAACAGATCTGAAGATTTGAAGGATGTAAAATGAGCTCAATTCATTTTCTATGAGGAAAACGGTGAAAGAAAAGACTAAATATTTCAAAAAGCTAAAGTACCAATACCAAAAGTCCTAGCAGGATTGTCCTGAAAGAGCTGAACATTTTGATTTATGATTTGTTGAAATGGCACAAAAATGATGGAACAAGAATGATGCTGAAAAACGTACAGAAGAAAAATGGATGACAATAGTGTGAATGCTTCATAAACGTTCGCACAATAAAAGCACAACGGTGATCTAAAACAACACGATGACTCATTCTGTTTATTGTGTAATAGTAAACTGGGTGGCTCTGCTTCAGTAGGTTCTGGTATTCTGATTAGTTCCTGGAATTGATCTACCTGTGTCGCACACTAAAAGGATGCAATGTCACGTGTTCCTTTCAGAGGCAGACGTGTGCCCGCTTTTCAGAGCCCAGTTCATACGAAAAGCTCGACTTTGAGCGTCTGACTGTCGATGGCCATCACGGCCCCGCATCTCCCTCGAAAGTCATCGGCCTCTTGGATGAGAGTTTCCTGGAGTGTCCAAAGTGTCGCGCTCCGTATCCAACCAGTCGCCACAGAGAGCTCCTGGCACACATCGATGACTGCTTTGCCTGAAGTGGTGCAAAGTTTAGATCGGTGTTTCCCAGTCTAGATGTTGGGACTTTTTTTTTTTTTTCTCCACACACCAAAAAAATCTCATCTGATCGACAGACGACTGCTTTTGTTCTCATCTGTAAACCATCAAACGCAGAGTTTGTGCACATCGGCATGCTCTAAACTTGAAATACTCTCTTATTTAACTGGAGTTTAATACTTTGCAGTTGAAATTTACCAGCGTTTGCAGGTTTTATGATCAACAAACGACTCATGTAAACAAATGAGAACCAAATCACTTCTCTGTTGGAACACCGATTACAGATCAGAAAAGCTATTTAGGAAATTTACACGTTTTATTTTTGAACATTTGTCCCAATGATTGCTGCAAAAACAATGCACTGCTGTAAACCAGTAAGATTTTTAAACTCCTTTCAAGCCATTTATTCACTCCGGTTAAAAATTACTCATCATGCTGTTTTCTAAACAAATGCTTTATTTGAGCTGAAATGGAAGAAGTTATGGATTCATTATTTTCACGTCTCAAACAAAACTCCAACCAGAGAAATACTTTACATTATTTCTTTTAAGGTAAAAGGGATTGTGACTCTTTTTTTTTTTTTTTTTTTTTTTTTTTTTATTTTTTAAATATTTATGAACAGTTTTGTACTCATCAACGTGAAGGTTTTTTTTTTTATTTATTTTTTTTTTTTTTATGATTGAAGCCCAACCTTAAAGTTGTTCATTATTAGACAGAAACAGCATTTTTTTAATCCATATTTTAGTTTGATGTTTTTAATGAATTTCCATTTTGTGTGTATTTGATAGTTATTTATTTCTGGGTTTATGTGATAATAGTGTGGTTTTTTTTTTTTAACATTATAGATCGCTCCACATTAATGCATATTTATGATAGCCTAATAATGGGATTTACTTCTTTTCTGTATTGAAAGTTTACAATTATCTTTATCAATGAATTAAACTGCTGTAAAGTCGCCATTTTTTCCACGCTTAGTCTCTGAAACATCACTTTGTACTGATATTAAGGTCTTATTTTCATTATTCTATAAAAATAAAAAAAATCAAGCTCATTTCTCATTATGACCGTATGTAAAGGACTAAAATATAAAAAGTATCTCTAGGCTGCAGCTTCTATTTATTTTTAATCTGCATTTATAAAAATCTGCAAGCTGTGCACCGTTTGTCTACAGCCTCAGTGTACCAGCAGCCGGGTCTAGCATGGTGTATAAACATTGTTGTAATGAATGACTAAGAGCTTTCTTTTTTTTTTTTTTTTTTAGCTTACCTTCAGCATGTAGCTGTATGAAGCTTAACAGGTCACATGTGGCGAGTTGTATTCTCTTTCCCTTCACCACCTTGACATTTCAAGCCTGCAGCCCTGTAAGGCTGGAATGAGATTGCATGAGTTAATTCCTTGTTCTAGACTATTTACAGCAGGGATTACTAAAGGTCTCCTCGATGAGAGAAAGGGGTTAAGGTGTTTTTATTTTTACAGGCTTGGCAATGTGACCACATGGACTTAAGAGGGATACCACTGTGCATCACTTTGGTAGTCTCTGTTTTGCTTTTTTTTTTAATAGTCGGGTTGTGTATATTTTAGAAAAAGACCATTTGGAAGTTGTTTTCTCCGTCTTTTTTTTTTTTTTACTGTTTATTCTAATCATGTTTTCCAAACCTGTGCTGAGTACTGTGCAATAAAGATGTAAAGCCTTCTGAATCACATTGTGTCACTTTCATGTCACAGTATTCTAAGACTAATGCTGCTTCTTAGCAATGCAGTGGTTTTAGTCTTCTTTTTTTATTTAATAAGGTTTCTACAACTGGTGGCCCGGGGGCCAAATCAGGACCATGGGTGAGCTCAGTTTGGCCCACGAATGGGTTCATTTGAAATAAAACTAAATTTTAAACCATAAAACAAACTTACTTAATGAGAATAGCTGCTGGATGTCTGGCCCCTGAGCTCTTGGCTTTCAGTAACTGTGGCCCCCTGAGCAGTTTAGTTGAACAGTATTATGTAAAAAAAAAAATGGGGGTGAAATCAGGTTTCAATGTGGTGCTTTATGAAATATTTCTGATTTGCTGATCTTAATGTGGACACAAACATTCCTACTATTAAATATGTTATATGTATCAAATATACTAAAGCAATGGTGCTGATCTTTTGAAGTGGGGTTCTGTGGAAATATGATAATATCTTACCTGTTGCAGATGGCTCGTTGAACAGTGTTTGGAGAAATTCTTTGATTCTGACCGACTTGATGAGCTATGCTAGTCTGAGCAAGACCAGAGGGGGTTTGTTGTTGCTTTGAAACTCCAATTTCGTACATTTCATAGCTTTTATTTATAAACGGTTACACATTTGTTCATTTAAAATTGCACGTGTATTTCTTCAGGAAATGTATTTCCTGTATAAATATATTTTCTAGGTTTTAGATGTTTGAAAAGTGAATGATTTTAAATTGAACAAAGTGAAGATGGCAAAGATATCTGGGTGAAAGTATGATCCTCTGAAAACAATGATTCTGCAACAGCTGGCCTGCTGCCAAGAAGAACATCCAGCTGTTTGTAATGAAGAAGACCATCTGCTACTTTTAGGGGTGGGGGTTCAACCCAACTTTAACACAGTGAACTAACACAACCTCTCATAATGGTCTAATATGGTGTGAAAAATTACTCTTAGTTAATACCTTGGAAATATTTTGGTAACACACAGGAGCTTATTTCTCACCTCAGTGTTTGTTCCTATTTTAGGTTTCACTGTATTTCATCTTAACTAATCCAGAGTCAGCAGCTTGAGCTGAGAAATGGAGAGAGTTGGAAAAACCATAATCTACAAAATGGGTTTGACAGTTTTATTTCAAAAACTTGATCACAAAGTGCACAAGAGTTAACTTAAGATTAGCAAACAGAGCTAGTACTGTATGTCTACCTTGCTCTTATACATTAAACGTATAATATGTGTTTATGAGCTACAAAACATTGCAAGATATTGATATGCTGATTTTTTTTTTATTCCAAAAAATATAGTTTTGAAATGGAAGCGATGAAAAACATAAATTCTGAGTATTACAGTTGTCCAAAAAAAAATCAGTTTCATGTCTGTTTATGGCTTGTTTTAAAATATCTACTTTCTTATGACCTGCAGGTCAGCTTCAGTCTGAGACCAGCAAAGGGAACAGTTGTGCGAGGCCTTTCAGAAGGGTCACAGTGGTTCAGTGGATCCGCTGTTCTCACAGAAGCCTGCAATGCAACAAAGAACAGTTTGATCACTACAAAATATCTCCTGCACATTGTACATATTGTATTTCTGTTTAAAAATATTGCAAAAGTCTGACTATCCAGCATGAAAGATACCATTGAGATCTCTTTTTAATGATAAAAGCCCCCCGTTTCGGCTCAGTCGATACATTTAAACAATGATCAGAGGGTTTTACACAACCTAATGAGTTAATCACTAACTTGATCTTTCACCTCATTGAAGAATGCCAAATAAAATGTCCTGACTCAATCAAAGGTCAGCGGAAACCAATGAGCGACCCACCGTTGTGTGCGACCCGTCTGTATTTGCCTAACAGGCAAAGTTCCATCTTCTTCTGTGTGACGATGGCTTGGTCCTCTGGTCTCAGGCCGGTTGGGTGACGGGAGAATATGAAGGAGTAACTGTCCAAGCAAGTACCGTCAGCGTCCACCAGCCTGCAGGAGTAGTGGATGGCGTAGTTGTCGTAGTCCGTGTCGATAACCCAGTGTTCATCATCTGAAGGAAGAAAAATTAAAGTTTAACCAAATCAATTCAACTTAGACGTGACAAAAATCCAAATTAAACCATTTAACAAAAAGTTTAAAACTCCTGCAAATCATGATTTACTATTTCTGTTGTTACTGTTGATTCTTCTTTTATGAGAATGTTTTATTCAGTTAATGTTCACCTTCATCTGTTGGTTTGGACTTTTGACATGCAGAAACAGGAACCAACTCTCGGGGATTGTCAGGATGTGCAGCAAAACTGCTGGCATGGCCCTACAGAACCTCACTGATCTACACAAGGCGAGGTCAGTGAACAAGGCCAGGCTGATTCTGGCAGATCCTGATCACCACTCCGTGGTGAGTTCGGGTTGCCTCCATCTGGACGCAGGTATCTGCTGCCCAGATCTAGAACGAACAGACTGAAAAACTCATCCCTGTAGCGATCAGGCTTCTCAACAAACAGTGATGATTTCTATATAGGCCTGTAATTATCAACCTCATTTTCATTTATCAGCTTTATCGTTTCTTTGTGTCTCTCTCTTTCTACTGAAGACACTGGATGACAAACGGCTCAACTCTGGTGCTCTTCACTGACTCCCTTTCTCTTTTCTCTTTAAAATCCATTTTAACTGTCCAAAATCACATTTTTGGATCGTTATAAGCTGTTAAGCTACAAGCTAAGTTAACAGGCTGACCTCGGGAAAAACCTCTGTCTTGTTGAAGCTCCAAAATTCAAGATGGAAACCCATGCCTTCATCTAAAAAGTTGGTTTTTTTTTCTGCAAAAAGAAGCTGAGAACTTGTTTACTGATTTTAAAAAATATATTATTATTAAAAGCTTTGTGTGGAAAAATGCTCTGCTAAAAAGCTCAAACCACACTGAGCGTCCACCATTTTGAGAACCGGAATAAAGGAGACTTCTCTCCTTCCTTTTTGTCACGTCAAGAGGCCTCCCTCCCATTTTTCTTAAAGAGACGCACTGCTTGCACCCTCACTATTCATCCTTCGGTTCAAACAGTCTTATACTGCCATCTGGTGGTTGAAAAAGGTACTACACTCCAAACAAATTAATAAATTTGATAATAATTACTAATTGTCAAATTTCAAACAATATTATCGTTTATCACAATAATTTCTGAGACAATTAATTGCCCAGCAAAATTTGTTATTGTGACAGGCCTATTTCTGTACTGCTATCTTAATGTCTTGTCTAGTGTGGATGTTTTGTGAGCCAACTGACTGAATCAAATTGCCCCTCGGGGAAAATAAAGATTTTTGAACTTGAACTATTTACAAGCTAAGAGTTTTTTAGTCCCCAAAAGATTTCAGTTGGGCCTTGTGCCTCTTCTTTCATGGAAATTCTTATTCTTCAACACGACAGTAAATCTGTTCACCCAATCTATAATGAGTCACGTTAACTACTATGTAACGAATCATCTGTTTTGTTTGTTTTTTTTCCATTTGCCAGGGACACAAAGTGAACACTAGAGCTGAGAACGGTGTTCAGAGAACAGCTGGCTTCAGGTCATTGTTTCTCGACATCATTGACTCCTGACCGAGAGGTACGTTGCTGGATTTAAAAAAAAAAAAAAAAATTATTTTGATGGAGTGAAATCATCCTTACTTCCAGTCTGCAGGTATGAAGCAGCTCCCCAGTAATTCATTCTGAACTTGGCGGGTTCAGGAGTTTCCTCAAAGGTAGCAAACATGTGGGCGCACATCTCCCAGTTGCTATGGGTCAAAGAGTAATGAGGACACACACAAACACCTCACTGATTTATGTGCAGAGCATAGCCTTGTAAAATTAAATTGAAGGCAAGATGAACCTTTTTAAAGTCTCCAGGGAACAGAAAGAAACCTACTTTAGGATGATGACTCTGCCTTTAGCTGTTGCGGTCATTTTGTCTTCTTCGTCAATGATAAATTGGGCCACAACGTTGTCAAGTAAGAACAGACCCTCCGGGTCCTTTTTTCCAACAGCATACCAGTTCCCCGCATACTATGAGAAAGAAATTACACATGCAAGCCAATATATACATGTTCTGAGTTAATCATGAAGGATGAAATATAATTAATATGGAATTAGAGATACAGAAGTTGCATTGACGGTGTGCCTAAAGAAGTTAATACAGACCTTTAAAAAAAATCTCAGTATTGTACTATTATACTCACCCTGGTTTTGGTAAAATTCTGCATGACTTGGATATTAGCAACTTGGCAATCCTGAGCACAGGACAGTGCCAAAAGACAGAGGGCCACAGCGTATCGTAGCATTCTACCTCAGAGGAAGAAAATAAATTAAGAAGGGATGAGAGAAAGAAATGGGCAGGTTAAAAGAAAAATGAATAACAAAGTACAGATTTAGAGCAGAAAAACAAAATCTGTTTCAAGTCCTCGAGTCAAGTAGAGTGATATAATTCCTTAAAGCATCTCCAAAAAGTGCTTGTTTAGTTAAAATTGAAAAGAAATGGGATCCTTTGTCAAAGCATACCTTAGAAAAAGTTATTGCCACCTTATGGAAATCCTCACTTTTCCCTTTAGTTTGGCTCTTATATATAGCTGACCAGCTTTGTCTCTTAACAGGGGGGTGGGGGCTGAACCTCCTCTGCTCACCCCCACAGTTAGTCTGTATTACATTGGACAAACATTTACAGAACTGCTCCAGCCCAGTTGATCTGTGGGGTCGACAACACCCCTGAAACTACGCTAAAAGTGAGTTTTTATGTTTAACTGCTGAGGCCTTCAACAGACAGCAAGGCCAACAGGACAGTCTGGAGTCAGATATATGAGATTACAAACACAAAGACATGCACACAAATCTGATTTTAACGAGAGAAGCTGTTTCAGGTAGAGACTTTTGGAAGAACGTTCAAGCCTTTTCTCAGGTAGAGGCTCCACACAAATCTACAAAGTGAACCAGTTTGGTGTGTGTGGACTGAACCAAATGGTTTAGTAAAAACTGAATTTGTTCAACACTTCTTCTTTTTATTTATTGAACAAACATTTCAGGAGTTACGAGTGCCTCCTGCCATCAGCGCATCGACTTCATTGCATCAGCAGCTCCTTTATCTGCCCACGCTGTTTGTGGAAAACAGGAGCAGAGTCCACTCTCTTTTGATGTAATCCCACATAACCAAGAACTTCAGTTTCCCTTTAAAATATGTATTTTCCACAATTTGGGGTCAAACTTTTTCTCACAATGTTCTGATTTGGATTTAGCTGCGGTTCTGGACACTTTGGTCATTTTTTACGTTGTGTTTTTTGTCATATAGTTTGTCAGCCGTCACAGAGAGCATGAATGCTTGAAAAGATCCAAAGTTTTCGTCCGGGCCAGGCTCATGGCTGACCAAACAAGAGTTCATTTAGATGATTGTTTTTTATTTATTTTTAGGCTACTGGACAATGTTTGTTACTACACAAACGTGCTCAGAGCGTAGACCAGTATACAGCGATGGTGCCGAAGTTGCAAGTGTATCCGTCCACTGGGAGCAGAGTAGACCTTTACTCACTGGGCACACTAAAAAGTACTCTACACTGATACAATTACTATCTGTGGTGCCAGCTCCTCACAAAGAATTGTAGCCACTGGCTGTCCTAAAAGTTGTTGAATGATGTCATCACTTATTTTTATAATTGGCCATTTGCAAGTAAATGCAATGATTCAAGGTTATTTGTCATTCCACCACATGTGGTACATGTGGTGGAACAAAATTATGTACACAGGGTCCCAGTTACATCCAACAAAAGTATTAAAATGTAAACAAACAAACGGCAATAAGATCTAAGATATGAACTAAGAAAAACGTTAATTAAAATACACTATGCACTAGTAGTACAAAAACAATACGCTGAACAGCAGCACGAACATGAGTCTGTGTGAGCAGATGAGCACGCATGAACACAGCAGCATGAAATAAATCAGCAGCATGATGTTTGTTTGTTTTTTCCACAGTGATTATTCTGGTTAGAGATTCATGAGTCTAACAGCCTCAGGGTAGAAGCTGTTCCTCAGTCTAGTGGTTCTATGCTTAATGCTCCTCAACCGCCTTCCTGAGGGGAGCGGGGCAAAAAGTGTGTGTGCTGGGTGAGTGAGGTCCTTCATGATGCAGGTGACCCTCTTCCTGCATCTGGAGGTGTAAATGTCTGTGATGGTGGGGAGGCTGACTCCAACAGACTTCTGTGCAGCCTTCACCACTCTCTGCAAAAGCTTTTCTTTCTGCAGCTGTGCAGCCTCCATGACACACGTTGATGCTGGAGCACAGGATGCTTCTCCACTGCACAGTGGATTGCTGTAAAGAGAAATCACGATGAGGAAGAGGGACAATAAGTGAGTAAAATACACTATAAAAAACTGGATGTTTAGAACTACAGATGAACTTTCTTCTATCAGTTGTTTCTTTAATACTATTTAAAGAACGCATCCTCCTTGCAGGTATTTATTTAAATGCAGTGATTTATTTTAGACAAAGAAAGTTTTCTACAACCAGAGGTGTAGTTGTGTATTTGACTCGTTTTTTGTTTGGACTCAGAACTGGGGGGCGTCTCCTGCTCGGCCTGCAGCTGGGAGGGACTGCTGTGAGAGGCCTGCGAGTACTTTTGGACGGGTCAGGGGTTGACAGTGGCACCCGCTGCTTGTTGAGAAGAGTAAGACCGATATGTGCTTTCACATCCATCTCCAAACATCTCTAATAACACCAGACAAAGCTGCTAGATTTGTTGCTGGTTGTTTTGTTGTTTGCAGAACTTATTATAGGTGTCAGAATGGTCACTGAATTTAACAACAAAAATGGCAACGCCTCAGCATCGACCTATACTGGTCTATGCTCAGCAAACATGCATGTATCGTATCACCAAACTAAACAACTGGTGCTATTCAAGCTAATGGAGTATTCTTTCACAGTATGTCAGATTTGAGAAAAAAAGTTGTTTAGCCAAACGGACACTAATTTTTGTTATTTTTCTGGTTTATAGCCATTAGTTTGAATTGGAGAAAGACTTCTGCCCTTTCCTCCTTACTTTGTATCGTGATGTCACATTTGATATGTTACTGACTATGGCGTGGTTAGAGAAAAATCTTCTCCCATCTCCATTTCAGATCTGTTTGCAATCGGACTTCAGTATTTAGGGGCAGACTTGTAATTAATCAACGATGGTACTTTGCATTGCGATCAAAGAACCACACCTCTGCGGCCTAAAGTAGCACAGTGGAGCCAAACATCTGCAGCTTACATAACCAAAGTCCTGGCCCGAAACGAGAAGAAAACAGCACTATCACTCTTAAACATAAACATTAGCGGTTGGAGTTTGGCCAGAGGCGACTCCAACGTTTCATAATCTAAAAAACTGGCAAAGACATTATAAATGTTTTGCTGCCAGGTTTGTGTACGCCTTTTAACATTTTGAGCAGTTTACTGGCAGCACGTAAACTGCCAATAAACTGCCGATGGTGTGTCAAACTTTAAGTAACACAAACCCTCACAGAATCTGAGGGTTGATTAAAACACCCCATGGTTGCATAAACAGTTTCCAAGATAAATTTTAAGTCTTGCAAAGAGCAATGACATCATTCGTCAGACTCCTGTTATGTCAGTGATCTAACTTAACTTAACCTGTGGCCCAAAATGAAGTTTAATGTCAAACTATAAGTGATGATTATACAATACCAATTCTAGTCTTTGCATTAAGGTTTATTGAGGGGGGATGTGATGTTTATTTATATTTATATTATTTGATGTTTGTATTTTAATGTATAGTTTTTATTATATGAATGTGAAGGTTGTTGATTACATGAACATGTAGGCAGGAATACGTAGGTGTTCTTACTGGATTTTGATTCATAAATTGTGTGTATTTTAATGTGTAGAAATACCCAACCAGAGACTGGAGTTGTGAATTAGCTATATACTATTTGTGCAATGCATCAGTCACTTGTTCTGTTCTATGTTTGTGTGCATTGTCCCTGTCAAATAAACTAATAATAATAATAATAATAATAATTTTGTGAAGGTTATGAATGAATAATATCTTACCTGTTGCAGATAGCTGTTTAAAAGACAGTTTAAAGAATATAGACTGGATTAATGAGCAATCTGCTAGCTGGAGATGACTCAAATTTAAACCAAATTCAAAGTAATTCATGCAAACCATACTTTATAAATCTTTACCAATATTCAGTTTTGCATTACTTGTTTGGATACACATAATTTTGTTGGTATTTGCAAGCAAAAATGGCAACAGCAGCTAGCTGTAGCACTTCCAACTAGACCATAACATGATTTCTGTAAGAATAGATGTGTACAGTAGTCCCTCGTTTATTGCGGGGGATCCGTGCCTTGAAGCCTCGCGATAAGTGAAAAACCGTGAAGTAGGAATAGCAGTACAAGTAGTAAGTAGTTGTTTATTTCAGTGTATGTATATATTTATACATATGCATTTTAAACCCTTCCCACACTCTTGCAATATTCTAAATAATGTTTCTAAAGTCTAAACGCTCTAAAAGAGCACAGAATGTCATGATTTCTCTCTCTGTGCCTCCACTGCTCTCAGCCACCTGCAAGCGCTCTTGGCCACGCCCACTTCTCTGCTCTGCATGCAGATCAGCTGTTCAGCTGCAGGAGAAAGTTTATCCTGCAGTAAGGGCTGCACAGAGGCACAGGAGGAAGCTTTTTCTACAGCTGTGGGCTGCACGAAGGAGTAACAGGTGCTAAATAGTTTAAAATAATATATTTTAAATAAAAAATTCCATGCTGATCGTGTGGCTCATCCATCAATCAATTTTATGTTATCTCCAATCTTATTATGAAAAACCACGATAGAGGGACAGCAATGTAAAGATTTATTTAAAAAATAGCATTTTTAGAATTTATTAGACTTGTTTTAAACCGGGGGTTGTTTCAAGAATTCAGCATTTTACTTTGCTCTCAAAGCCACTCGGACTAGGCATTAGCTCATCGATCTGATCTAAGTCCAACTCTTTTTACAAACTGAGTTCATTTGAAGCGCTAGCTTCAACAAGTAAGATATTGTTTGTTTATAGTCTTGCCACAGAATCCTACTTCAATAGATCTGAAGTATCCTTTTACGGGTTTTTAGCATTAGTCTTATTCAGAACAACAGAAATATGACTCTCAGACAAAGAAACATGATTTTGTATGGCTGTATGCCAGTAATTACTCCATGTAGCTGTGAAATACATAGCTTAATCAAAAGTACAGTAAGTATATTTTTATTATTATATACTGACACAATCAACAAATGCCTTAGCAAACATTTCCAACCAATACCATGCATTTACAAGAACATACTGACACTAATATATAATTTTATTAGTGGACGTGTCTGTTCACACTTCCTCTTTAAACATTTAACCTCTCACCTGTTGTTCTCATTGTAAAGTAAGCGCCTTTACCTTGTACACATATTCACCTTTCACAATAATCCTTTGTTAGAATTATCCTAATCCTCACAACAAAATTTATGAAAGAGCATCTTGTCTCATCAGACTACCAGCAGCCAACTCCACTATATGTTAATAGTGGTGGTCCATTTTTGTTTAGGCCCTTCCTCCCTGACTCCCACATCCCCACAAAGTGGCCTCATCCTGATACCTCCATGATGATTTCATTAGTGCACAAGTAGACTACGTTCACACTGAGAGCATTGTATGGGCTGTTATTATGGCTCTGCACACGATCATTGCTGCCAACAGGACACTATTTAGGTACTTACTTCACTGTGGCAAAAATAAGGGCGGTACATTCACAGGAGCTAATGTGGGCTTGGCTGCCGGGGAGGTTATTTAAGGCTGGAGAAGCTCCTGTCTCTTGATTGCTTAAATTGTTTAAACAAGGGAAAGTGATGGTGCTGCCACTATGAGTCCACTCACTGGCTATAAATGGTCACATAGAATGGAGTTGTAATAACATAGTAAGTGTTGCATGTTATTACCATGCTTTTTGTTGGTGTTGTCTGGGGACGTGTCATTATAGACTATTTACTGTTGAGAAATTACTATTTCCCCCAGATTTCGAGAGCCATAAAAGCACACATGAAAAGCTTGAAATTTGTGGAAGTTATGTTTTAAAAGTGTCTACAATACTGCACTAATAATACACAGTACTATCAGCTGTGGCAGACTGCCTGAGCTGGAAACACTGTCCTGGATGAAAAAGCATTCGAGGTGCTTTTTACAACACTGAAGAGTTATTAAGGAAGGCCCAGGATTCTCAGGGATTGTGGCTTTTATATGTCTTTTTGCGAGTCTTGCCCATAAGAGAACAGTGAAAAATAGCTCAAGGTAAGACTAATTTACAGTAGAAACAAAACTCCAAAAAAGTAAAAATAATAATAATAATTTAAAGTGAAATAAAATGGTTGCATATAATATACAGCAATGAAATATACAACAATGTATAGAATGTTGTATAGAATATACAATAGAATATTTTTTTCATTCTAATACTTTTATTGCACTTGAAATATTTTTCCTCTAAATAAAAGAAATCTCCATATAGATAAATATATATATATATATAATTCTAAAACTTGTCAAAAGAAAAAATTTGCCAAAACATTATGAAAAATTGATAGCAAGGTTAGCAAATATTCACAACTATGAATTTTGTTTTTTGTTTGCTAATACCATTTACTTTCTGTAAATAAACTTTTCAGTATGTCAGGGAGTTTTAATGTTGATTGAGTCAGGAAAAAAATGTTTAATGTAGAAAAAATAAGGTATTGTGGCTTATGGCATATGATGCATAAAGCAATGGTGGGCATGCAGTAAGTAAGTTACAATGACATGGTTTCCCCTAAACATGTCAAATATACACCTACACTAAAACCTTGGATAATTCAAATCCCCATTTTATTTGCATGTGCCACATAAACGGTAGTAGAAAAGTTTAATTCAGTTCAATTTATTTATATAGCGCCAAATCATAACAAAAGTTCTCAGGGCACTGAACAGAAACAATCATAAAAAATAATAAGTTAACATTTATCCGAGGAGCAGACTGCTTGAATCTAACATCATCGCAGAATTCTCATCTCAAGCAAACATAAAGGCAACAGTGGAAAGGAAAAACCCTCATGAGGAAGAAAGTTTTAGCAGAACCAGACTCAGGACAAGCGGCCATCTGCTTCGACCGGTTGGGTTTGAGAAGAACAGGAAGGAGGAACAGATACACAATGGCAGGTTGAGGAGCACATTAAGATAGTAATAGTATCAAATGAAAACTGTTAAATTTTAACAATGACTTTAAGGAAATCAGGTCAATTTGTCCTTCTATAGTCTAAGCTTCAGGCAGCATAACAAGCCAACCTTAATTATAGGATTTATCAAAAAGGAAAGTCTTAAGTCCAGTCTTAAAACTGGACAATGTGTCAGCCTTACTGACAGAAACTGGAAGCTGGTTCCACGAGAGGAACCTGATGACTGAAAGATCTTCCTCCCATTCTGCTTTCAGAAACTCTAGGAACTGCAAGTAAACCTGCAGTCTGAGAGTGAAGTGGTCTGTTAGAAAAATATGGAACAATAAGATCTGTAATATAAGATGGAGCTAGGTTGTTGAGAGCTTTGTAGTTTAGAAGTAAGATTTTGAATTCTATTCTGGATTTGACAGGGAGCCACTGGAGAGAAGCTAAAACTGGGGAGATATGATCTCCTAACTCCAGTTAAGACTCTGGCAGCAGCATTTTGGATCAACTGAAGATGTTTTACAGAAGTATTTGAATATCCAGATAATAAACCATTACAATAGTCCAGTCTAAACATGACGAATGCATGGACCAATTTTTCTGCATAATTTTTAGATAAGATGTTTCTAATTTTAGCGATATTGTTTATATTGTTACTATATTGTTATAGTTATGTTTATAACAGGTCTCTCTTTCTCAGGTCTCTCTTGTAAATGAGTCCCCGAGGCTCAATGGGATTAACCTGCCTAAATAAAGGTTGAATGAATTAATATTGTTAGCAATATTGTTTAGCAATATCGCAGATGGAAGAAGGTGGTTCTAGTAACGTTTTTAATGTGGGGGTTAAAAGACATGTCCTGATCTAAAATAACACCAAGATTTTTAACCTTAGAGCTGGAGGCCAAATTAATGCCATCTAAGGAAGGAAAAAAAATTGTATGACTTTTTATAACTGTTTATTGTTGTCGCTGTTGTCCATTGTTGTCATCATTCTTTGTTGAAATCAGGTCTTTCTTGTAAATGAGTCCTCGAGGCTCAATGGGATTTACTTGTCTAAATAAAGGTTGAATGAAAAAAAAAAAAAAAAAAAAAAGGGAGGGAGGGAGGGAGAGACTGAAAAATGAACTCTAAGATGCTCTGGTTCAAAAATGAAAACCTCGGTATTGTCTGTATTCAAGTCATCCAGGTTTTTATGTCTTTAAGACATGCTTGTAGTCTAAGTAACTGATTGGATTCATTGGGTTTCCTGGACAAATATAACTATCATCAACATAACCATGAAAATTACCCCATGCTGTTTAATGAGTTTACCTAATGGAACCATGTACAAGGTAAAGTTTATTGGTCCAAGCACTGAACCCTGAGGAACTCCATGACTAACTTTCGTGTATGAGGAAGATTATTTACATTTACAAATTGGAATCTAACAGATAAATATGATTTAAACCAATTTAGAGCCGTTCCTGTTATTCCAATGTCATATTGAAGTCTCTGTAATAGAATATTGTGATCAACTGTATCAAATGCAGCACTGAGGTCTAACAGGACCAGTGTGGACACCTGTCCATTGTCTGAGGCCATGAAAATATAATTAATAACTTTCACCGGTGCTGTTTCTGTGCTATGATGAGCTCTAAACCCTGACTGAAACTCTTCAGATTGTTTCTTTGCAGATGTTCACACAAATGGCCTGCAACTGTTTTTTTCTACAATTTTTGAGATGAAAGTTAGATTAGATATAGGTCTATAATTGGCTAGGATTCCTGAGTCAAGGTTGTTTCTTAAGTAAAGGTTTAATTACAGCAATCTTAAAACACTGTATGTAACCATTTATTAGAGACAAATTAAGCAGATCCAAGATATGTTTATTAAGGGAAATACCTCTTCAAGTACCTGGTTGAGATGGGATCTAGCAGACATGTGGATGGTTTAAATGAAGCTATTATTTTTGACAATTCAGAGAACTCAACAGGACAAAAACAATTCAAACATAAATCTAGTTCTAGTGACATTTTTAAATTGTCTCATCTGATACAGAACCAGAGGTGATAGTAGGAAGTTTGGTTTGAATTTTTTCCCTAATTGAAATAATGTATATGTTTATGTAAAATGTTCATGTTCGTGTGGGCTTAGCCTTAAAAAAATCTCAAAACTGTTCAAAAAAACTCATGGCACTTCACACTTGACTTGAAAATTTTATAAAATAAAAAAGCGTTGACAATAAAACTCTTAGTCAAAAAATCCTTTCAGAAAACTCATTCAAGCCATCCTGAGATTCCTCCTTGCTGTTTTGTTGAGATTTATGTAAGGACCAATGTGAGATGGGGGTCTGAAATCAATCTACTGCTATTACACCTCTGAGCTGCTAAGTGATGTAGTCACAGAGCTGATAGTGTTGGTATGCATAAGGGAAATGTGGCGTCCTGGGTGGAGGGTGTAGAGGCAAACAGACATGAGCGTCAAGAATTTACAGTGAGTGATGTCCAACACACGATTTCTGCACCGTGCTTCTCATTAAAGCCACACTGAGTAATACAGTACATGTCCAGTTAGTCCATAATGTTGTCTTCTTTGTGTAAAAATCCATTGCTGAGGGGTCAAGAGTGGCTAGATTGGTGTATTTGTCTGACTAGAGGCACTTAGAGAGCGGTTCGTCTTAATGGCTGCATACAGGAACATTTTGGGGGGAAACTTTAAAAAGAAAGCTACAACTGAACTTTCTAAAAGATGCAAATCTGTACTATTCACAGCAACGTTGTCTGTCTCAATATAGCAGTATTACTTACTTCTTAAGTATGTAGGATGATGTGCAGGCCTTTTAAAAGTCTGTGCCCAGGGGCCTGTCGGCATATAATCCTTCCACGCTATAACAAGATACTTAAGCTCCCTTAGGAAGAAGCTCTAGGTGGGACAAGATTGGTCTATGCCCAATGATGGACTTGAATTATATCGTTAACAATGTGGTTGAAGTATGATTTTTTTCAGTGCTTTACCCGCTTATTTGCCTCTTTGTTTTATACAGTGTTGATTACATCCCACCTGGACATGGCTCAGGTGTCTGACCAAGCATCTGACCTGACAACATCTCACTCTCCCTTAGCTAGGTTTGCCCCATGTGAAATGATCAGCGTTAGGATTTGCAGGTTAAGGATGCTTAAAGCAGGGTTTTTAATGCCCTGACGTCACGTTAATTAGTGATCACTTTACTGATCCTTTCAGCCTCTAAGCTGCATTCTGCCTGTTCTGTCTGTCGGTGGACATGGGATGTGTCCATGGAGGAAGATGCACGTTCTTTCAAAGGGACGCTAATTGATTCTTGCAACCCTGAAGGCGATAACGCTGTCTACCTTTTTGTTTTTAATGTCTCTGCAGGGGATGCATTGGTAGAAAGAAAAGTCTAGTAAAAGGACACAGATTTTGGTCAAAATGGCAGACAAGGGTAGTGTGGAGAAATATTTGGAGAACAACCCACAGTTCGCCAAAGAGTACTTTGACAAAAAGCTGCGCGCTGAGGCTCTTTCCACTGCCTTCTCTGGACAGCTCGACATCAAGGACACCGCTTCGTTCAAGGATGTTAACTCTGTGCAAGAGGCTGCCGTCATTTTCGAGTTGGTCCAGGAGCTGCAGAAGCAGGGAAGCATGGAGAAGGGTCTTCATAAAGTGTTGCAGAGGATTGCCCTGATCACACAGGCGGACAGGGTTAGCTTTTATGTGTGCCGCTCAAGAAACGGAACCCCCGAGCTCGCATCTTGCCTCTTTGACGTGACGCCAACGTCCAAATATGAAGCCAATTTAGTGAACCCCCAGGGCGAAATCGTTTTTCCCACCGACATGGGTATAGTTGGTTTAACTGCAACCACCAAAAAAACGCAAAATGTCCCAGATGTAACAAAGGTGAGAGGTTTGGAAGAGTTAAAAAGCTTTGAAAAAAAAATCTATATTCCTGTGTAAATTGTTTTAGCGGGAAAATTTAAATTTTTAAACATGAATATTCGTGTTGTTGGGCTACTGTTTAAACAACACTAGGTAAACTTAACTTTACTCATAAAAATTAGTTTCCAAAACATAGTTTGTTTGTAATGTTTAAAGCAAAGGCCACATTTATTTCTGTTTGCTGTGAACCTGATAATAAAAACCTATATTAATTTGGGGCCTATCTTTATTTATAGACAGACTTACATAAAGAGATTTCAGGTAATTTGTGTTGAAATTCATTTGAGTTATTTTAAAGACTAAAGCAGAGACAGTGACAAAAAACACTGTTGGTATTTTGGGATTATACCTCAAAATGCAATCATTAATAAAAGTTATGAATAAGTTATACACATTGTTGTACATTGATTTTTTTTGCTATACATTTTACTTTTTTGTTGCAAAAGTTAAAGTAGATTAGAATTATTCATTTGCAGCTTCGCTAAGATACTCAATTACTATTTGGCACCAAAACGTTGAACTCAACATGTAAAATAAAAATTCTCAAGCAGCTAAGTTTAATAAAACATCTCTTAACTGCATCAGATGACTTGCTTAGGATACATTTTTTCCCCTCTTGGATTTACTAATACAATTGTTTCTTTTTCTTCAACCCAGAACCAGAAGTTTTGTGACTTTGTGGACAAACAGACTGGATACAAAACCAAATGCATGCTGACTTTCCCTGTTCTGGTTGAAAAAGACTGTATTGGCGTGGCCATGGTGCTCAACAAAATAGGAGCGGATTCGTTTACTGCAGAGGACGAGAAGGTAGGAACAGACTTTTTAATGGGAGCAGATGGAGGTGCTAACGCTAAAATAAATCTGACAATTGGTGTTAAAACTCCCCCTCTTGTTTGAAACGTTCATCTCAACCTTTGCATTGTTGCATAGTGTAAAAATAATCTGCTCACCTTGATGAAAGTTCAGCTGAATATTACGGTAGTTCTGTGATTACATCCCACCAGTGGAGCACAAAACACCCTCATTACAGCAGAAGAAGCTAATCAGACTCCACTGGCTTGGTTCCCTTTTTTTATATTCAACTTGTAAATAAATAAATAAAAATGTATATAGAAATGGGTTCTCTCAGCGGTCTCTATCAGAACACATTCATCGCTGCCTCCGGAGCCATAAAAACCACACCGAGGCTCAATTCCATCAAGAATAAACTGTAGCAGATGGAAATGCTGTTTTTTACAGTCTGATTCTTACCGAGCGCGTGTCAGGAGAGGGTTTGGGTTGGCTTTAGCTGTATGTCTGGTTTGGTTGTTTTCATAGTGTTTTTTTAATCCGGTGATAATGTTGAATCTTTAAAAACATGCATTTATGCTCATTTCTGCATTAAAAGATACGATTAAACATAAAATTAAGAGTTTTTCCACTCTGCCATGAGCATGTAAAAAATTAAAAGCAATTTATGCAACAGAGTTTGCTTTTTCCTTGCCCAGACCGTTCCCATCTTTGCTAGGGGAAATGTATCTGTTTTTATTTTACTGTTTAAAAAAAAAAAAAAACTAATCTGCTTTTCTTTTCATAGCTCTTCCACAAGTACATGACTTTTGCTCAAGTCATCACCCTGCAGCATCACACAGCCTACATGTTCAACGTGGAGTCCAGGAGGAGTCAGGTACGGGGAATCGATGCAACTCATCACGTAGAGGAGTATTCCCACTGCTAGTTCCCCTCAGAATCGGGGCTCCTGTTGTGCTGTAAATGTATAAAAGCAACTCGCAGCATGTGTTTCCTGCTTTGCTTGGCTCCAGGTGCTGCTCTGGTCAGCCAGTAAAGTGTTTGAGGAGTTGACAGACATCGAGAGACAGTTCCACAAAGCTCTCTACACCGTGAGGACCTACCTGCAGTGTGAACGTTACTCCGTGGGTCTGCTGGACATGACCAAAGAAAAGGTTGGGGGTTTTTTTGTTAAATGCTGCTTTGGATGCATTCTGTTCATGCCTTACAAAAAAAAAACATCATAAAACAATTTTTATTGTGTTTTCTCCACCAGGAGTTTTATGATGAATGGCCTGTGAAACTGGGAGATGTGGAACCCTATAAAGGACCAAAAACACCAGACGGCAGGGTGACACACACATTTTTCTCCTCATTAAAGTTTTTTCTTACACACGCAGCCCTTTAAATCTCCTTATGTTTTTTTAACCTTTTTCCAAGTAGTGTAGCTTAAAGCATTAGTTCAGATATTTTGAATAAGGTTTCTGTGGAATAATATAAATAATTATCTTAATAAAGTTGATTTAAGCAACGTCCGTTTGAAGAAATACCGTATTTTCCACCGTACACGTCGCACCGCCCTATAATTCGCATCAGTCCAAATTTGTCTAATGAAGTGAAAAAATCCATAAATATGTTGCTTCGCCGCATACGTCGCATATATTATGCGTCATCGCTGACAACACGGAAATGTGGGCCGAACCTGGAAATGTTGGCCGGTGTTGTGCCAAAAATCGATAGGCTGCCAAATGGGAGGACTTTACCAAGAACAAGATTAACACTTAAAAACAATTATTTGTTTGCTCTAAATTATAGTAAATGTGTGTCTCAGTTGAACTTTTATTTAATAAATGCACTTTGACGGTCAAATCAGCTTCATTTCGCCGAGGCGGCGCAGCAAATTGAAGCTGATTCGGTTGCTCCAGGCAGATGAAGGTTGCAGTCTATGGCAAGCCGATTGTGTCATTAATAGTCACTTTTACCTATAACATGATACAACGGCATGCCTTACTACTCTGCTACCATCTAGCGGCTGAAAATGGTAGTGTTCAATATTTTTAGTCAGAGTGAATGAAAACGGTCATATCTCAGCCAAAAATTGGTTTATAAATATGAGAAAAAAATCCATAATTATGTTCCTTTGTCCTATAAGTCGCAGGGCATGCAAATTATGCAAAAACCCACAATTTATACTGAAAAATACGGTATTTAAATTGTGACCTTGTTTGATTGTGCCAAGATCAATACCGGTTTTAAAAAGTCGTAGCAATTCATGCAAACACTTTAAATAAACCTTTACATCTGATTGCCCGGCTGTTATGGCTGAAATATTGTGATATTCCTGCTGGATGTGCTACAGCTTGCTGCAGTTGTTGCTTGCATCTCGCTCAAGTTACCTCAGAAGTTTATGTAAATATTTGAGTAAATTAAAATTCACACAAATGTATAGGTTCATAAAGTCGCATTTGCATAAACCACTATGAATATTGTGAGACTGGAGTTGATTTATGAGCAATGGGAGCGATCCACTTTGAACTCTTGGATCAACCGTTTTGCAAAACTTTTCACAGAACCCAACTTCAAATGTATGAACTATCCCTTGAAAGATGAGTAGTTAAATTTTCCTAACTTGTTTTGTTTGTGTGTGTTTTTTACAGGAAATCATCTTTTACAAGATCATTGACTACCTCTTAGAAGGAAAAGAAGAAATTAAAGTCATACCGTAAGCAATGTTGCCTTCAAATGTACAATAAAACATTACATTAGGTATGATTTAACATACATGCACAACTTAAGTACACTACCATGTTGTAATAATTGATTACTTGTATCAACCTGTTATCCAAAAAGATTTTGTTTTATTGTAAAATTATTTTACCACATAAATATTTTGCATATGCACAGTGGAGCTAACCCGGTTACGATTCGTTTCAGAGGTCCACCTGCAGATCACTGGGCTTTGGTTAGCGGACTGCCTTCATATGTCGCAGAAAATGGCTTTGTAAGTGATGCAGTTCATAGAGTTACTATCATTTAAATACATGAAACTAGACCTGCCATAATTTGGAACTAGTTGAGGAAGTTATGCCAATATTCTCTTGTAAATGTATGAATAGATTAGTGCCACTAACGTCAACTTCTTCTTGTGTTGCGTTCTAAGCTATGAGCATGATAGATTTTGTTTAATCAGTAGAATGTAGAAAGATGCATGATGGGTAAAGTAATAATACATAATCTTTTCTGATGATTGAGTATAAATGTTTTTATGTGGCTGCCTGCAGATTTGCAACATGATGAACGTTGCTGCAGATGACTACTTCACTTTCCAGGTATGCTGGAGCACGTGTGTTCGGATGACACTCGTTTTGTTTTAAACCATGGGTGTCCAAAGTGTGGCCTGTAGGCCATTTGCGGCCCTTGGAATGACGTTGGCGGCCCACAACTGCAGTTTAAGAATGGTCTAATTTTGGCCAGCAGGCTTAAGAGGTTGATGCAGACTTTCTGCATATTTGTTGGTGATCCTTTTTTATATAATGTTTAAGTTTAACAGCAAAACGGATGAAAAACAATCTTCTTAAAATGAGCAATATTAAACAAAATACAAACATTTGGCAATAATCTTTTAATTTTCACTTCACAATGCAAAGCACCATAAACCTTTACTGGTTTATACCAGAAAGGAGACTTATGAATAATGATTAATAAAACTTGGCTAAATATTGGAGTTGATAAAATAATCAAGAAAGAAATTGGACATTTTAAATGAATATAACGCGGTATCATCTACATACGAGTTGATCGACTTTATCAAACCTTCCATGAATCTGTTGTAGAGACTGACAGCTGGATGATTTTTCAGAACCTTCATCAGCCTTTTTGAGCTGTCCATGGTCCAAAAGGCTGATTGAACCCCTTTTTAAAAGGGACGCTTACTCATATTACGCTTTTGTTGCTGAGAACAAACTAAACTGAACTTTTCAAACACAAGAAAACAACAAATAGAGACCCAACAAATCAAATAAATTAAATCCTTTTAAATAAAAAACAATCTAAAAGCTTAGTGTTTGAGGCTTTTAATGTTTTGGATCTACAACAATTTAAACTCTTTCCAAACCAAAATTAGTCAACTTTTGTCCTTTCTCCAAAATATTACTTGCGTTGAGAGTTAAATTCACATTTTTGTGGTCCACGAGTCCTTTCATTTTGATAGTTTTGGCCCACATATGAAAATGTTTGGACACCCCTGTTTTAAACATTAAAGAATAAGAGAAGAGTCTTGGTTAGGCTTTCCTGTTTGTGCTTTGCAGAAAGAGGCTGTGGATGAGACGGGCTTTGTCATCAAAAATGTGCTGTCGCTGCCGATCGTCAACAAGAAAGAAGAAATTGTGGGCATCGCTACTTTCTTCAACAGGAGAGACGGCAAGCCGTTTGATGAATACGATGAACAGATCACCGAGGTTAGGGTTCTGTGTGATAGTAAACTTCCTGCAGGATTATTTTTGTTCAACTTCATCATTTCACACTCTCGTCTTGTTTGGCACCAGGCTCTGACCCAGTTCCTCGGGTGGTCATGGCTGAACTGCGACACCTACGACAGACTGAACCGCATGGAGCACAGAAAAGACATCGCTCAAGAGATGCTCATGTACCAGGGAAAATGCACCAAAGACGAGCTTCAGACCATTCTGGTCAGTCCCAGCATGGCTTTTGCCCTCACAAACATTTTAACTTCACTTGTACTTGCTTCAAAAGCATTTGGAGCAGTAATTTACATCATTTGTGTTCTCTAAAAATGGAATTACGTTTAAAAAAAAAACGCAATTACGTTAAACCAAACTGGAAGTGGTGAAAACCGGACGTGGTGGATTTAAATTTAAAAAATTTTATTTTAAGTTTTTTGGGTTTTTTTATAACACAAGAACAAAAGAACAAATGATAATCTCAAATTACATAAAGATACATATAAACATGTGAAGAATCCTCTGTCATACCTCTTAAGGTCAACATTTGCACAAACAATTTGACATATTGTACAGATCAAATTTATATTTAAGAAACATTATTTGGAACAGAGAAGAAGCAAAACATATGAAAAAAGATATTTAACTAAAATTTGTCATTTCGTTTTTTTTCTAAGTAATTCCACTTTTTTCACCACTTCCTGTTTGACCACTTCCTGTTTGGCTTAATGTAATTTCATTTTTTGAAACGTAATTCCGTTTTTTCACCACTTCCAATTTTCACAACTTCCGGTTTGACCACTTCCTATTTGATTTAATGTAATTCCATTTTTTTTCACCACTTCTGGTTTTCACCACTTTCGGTTTGACCACTTCCTGTTTGACTTAAGGTAATTTTTTTTATTTATTTATTTATTTTTTTTCCACCACTTTCGGTTTGACTACTTCTGGTTTTCATCAATTCCAGTTTGGCCACTTCCTGTTTGGCTTAATGTAATTTAGTTTTTTTAAATGTAATTCCGTTTTTTCAAATGTTGCTGGGTTTTTTTCTTTTCCCAAATGTACTTACGATTTTTGAAATGTTGTTCATTTAAGCCTCAGGGCCACGGTAACAATGTGTTCATAAATAGAAATACAGCTGTAATTTCTCATGATTTTTTTTGCTTTATGTCCAGAACACCAAAGAGAAGTTTGATGCGGAGCCTGAAGACTGTGACCAGAAGGAAATGTACAAACTATTGGTACATATTGAAAAAAAAAAAACCCAGTTACGGTACCTGTTTTTCTAGTGAAGACAGGAGTTATAGGTGGCCATTTTGTGTGATCTGCACTGTTCCTCTCTGTACAGAGATCAAACTGCCCACCAGCTGACAACGTCGATGGAGAGAACCTGTACTCGTTTGGCTTCAGTGACTTCCCCGTTTCAGAGTTTGGCCTCATTAAAGCTGGCATCCGCATGTTCTTCGAACTCGGAGTTGTCGAAAAGTTTAAAGTTCCTCCAGAGGTGAGTCAGTCCGTCAGTCGCTTGTTTCAGTGGAGCAACTTTAACAAGGTGCTTAAAGGTGCCTTTGGTAAAGGTGGAAAATCCTACCATGTTCTGAGATGTGACTGTGTGAATTGAGCTCATTATTCTGCAGATCCTTTCAGCTGCGATCTTATCAGGACTTAAGAATTTTTTGTCTTTTTGATTTATTTTCATTTTATTTTTTTTACATTAAACAACTTTGAACTTTTACCATACAAACTCTCTAAAGCCAGGAATTAAGATGCTTTTTTTGTCTAAAACATGCTCATTTTAAGTAACAAGATCAGCCTTTTAGATGCAGAATATTCACAATATTGTTTGTGAAGCTTTAGCCCAGTGAACTGTTTGATTGTGGAAAAGTAAATGGTATCTGTGATAGAAATAATGTAGGAGTGCTGAAATGATAGTTTCCATCCTTGACACATTTCCTCTGTTTTTCTTTGAATAATGATCCTTTTTACCCTGTAAGATACTGACCAGGTGGATGTACACTGTGAGGAAGGGTTACCGTTCCATCACCTACCACAACTGGAGGCACGGTTTCAATGTAGGCCACACCATGTTCTGCCTACTGCAGGTAAGACCTTTACAGCATAAACAGATGTTCACCCATATATGTTGTCTTTATTCACAACTTTACTAATTCCTGTTTTGTTACAGACAGGAAAGCTGAGGAAATACTACTCGGATCTAGATGCCTTTGCCATGGTGGCTGCAGCTTTCTGTCATGATATTGACCACAGAGGAACCAACAACCTCTACCAGACAAAGTAATTAAATATCATCTCTGATCATTGCAGAGGGAAATATATGTTTATCTAAAACATGGATCTTTCATTTTTTAATTTTCTGCAGGAGTGCATCGCCTTTGGCCAAACTTCACGGCTCCTCCATCATGGAGAGACACCATTTGGAATACAGCAAGACGCTCATGGCAGACGAGGTGGAAGCCCAGTTACTTCATGATCAAACAGAAAAACAGTATCAGACTTGAAACCGGTGAAGCAGACCTTGTGTTGTTGTCTCTCGCAGAACTTGAACATTTTCTGCAACCTTCAAAAGCGTCAGTTCGAGAACGTGCAGCACTTGTTCGACGTTTGCATCATCGCCACCGACCTGGCCCTTTATTTCAAGTAAGTTTCAATAAATAAATGCAATCACTTTTATGGAAGGAAAGGCATGGAATTAAAAAAAATATATATATCTACACAAAAACAAAAAAGAAAGTACAGTTATCAGAAAATACAATGAAGGATGAATAAAAGTAAAAAAATATGGAAGGAACTAAAATTAACTAAAAAGTTCCTTGAGAAACTTTGACGGAGACTGCCATGTTGTGGCCATTTGAAAATTTTGATTTGGCAGTACTGTGTGTTGGGGTTCGTTCTCACCTACACCAAATTTCAGCTCAACATGGCAAAATGTCAATGTGTTAGTCATTTTTTCTTTTAAGCTATAGTGGCCATCTTGAATTTTTGATATGGATTCAGTATGTGATGGGGAACGTTCTCAGCTATAACCACACCAAATTTCAGCTCTGTATGTGTAAAAAGATAGCCATCTTGATTTTTATTTCAGTATTTATGGAGTATTGCTCTTGGCTACCACCACACCAAATTTCAGCTCAGTATCTTGTATAATAGCTGAGTTATCTGTTTTTGCTTTTAGCTAACATAGCCATCTTGGATTTGTAATTTCCATTAGTTTACTTTTAATATAAGTGATTTGGCCCACTTCTAATTAAAAAAGACAATCTTTTTGTTCACGAGATGTCTAGTATGTTATGTGTGAGAGTGCTGCTTTGGTCTGGGTGAGGGGCCCTGCTTCTGGAAGATGATTAGCAACATGGTGGTCAGTGGTGTCGGAATGAAGCATATTTGTGCAAGGGACACACAAGTGGGTGGGGGAGGGGGGGTCCTCCCCCAGAAAATTTTGAATAAAGTAGATGCCATTTCCTGCATTCTGGTGTATTTTAATGGGTTGTTTAATGTCTAGTTTTATCTACATAAGTAACACTTGATTCAATAACTATTTTAGAGTTAATGGCACAGCAAGATGTAGTAGCCTGACCAACAGCTCTCCTTGTGTGAACAAAGCACGCTCCGCTTCTCTCACGCATCCTAGTCACAGTCTAAGAAACATAGTGTAGCCTAAGTTAAGTTTTTTTTTTGGGGGGGGGGGGATCACTGACCAATATGAAACAATGATAATCACTCATTTTTACCAATGGCCTAGCATAAAGCAATATGAAATATGAAAGTCACAGCATAGTCCAGACACCCCCCCCCCCCCAGCCATTGTCCAGATAAGAGGTGTTATTTATCATCAGCTCGATTGAGGTTCCGTCACATGTCCATGACCTTGGGGAAGGGAGGGGTCAGGAGACGGACAAAGCATCTTTGTTTTGTTGTTTTTTTCAAAACATGACAGGAGGAGTTGAGATAAGTCCGCCGTCAAGGCCACAGTTTGGGTCAGGCAGAACTCGTAAATTGCTGTTTCTGCCTTTTTAAAGTCTCGCTGGTATATTCCTCTGATGGAAACTCCAAACAGCCGAATTGATTCCTTAAAGTTGAGCTCACAGCTTTTCCAAGATTATTCCCCACCTTCATGTGTGCTGCTAGAGAGTTCACAGTCCTGATAACAGCTGCACCAGCTCCCTGACACAGCTGCACATAATTCAGTCTGAGTGCTGCCGAGCTTCGACACATCCACACGATTTGTAGAATTGGTCAGCCACGCTCAGTCTGCCCCTCCTCCAAGACGGTCAGACTGACCAAAATCAGACTGCCTGCTTCAGACTGACCGAGAGGAGCACACCGCTGAAGCCACAGAGCCTGAATGTCCAACGTAAAACTAACTTTACCGCGGTACCGAGCACTACTGTTTGCTAACACTTAGCATGATAAACCTGCAGTCTGAGAGTGAAGTGCTCTGTTAGAAAAATATGGAACAATATCTCGAATATAAGATGGAGCTAGGTTGTTGAGAGCTTTGTAGGTTAGAAGTAAGATTTTGAATTAAATTCTGGATTTGGCAGGGAGCCAATGGAGAGAAGCTAAAACTGGAGAGATGTGATCTCTCCTACTATCTTCAGTTAATGGCAGCAGCATTTTGGATTAACTGAATACTTTTTAAATAAGTATTTGGACACCCAGATAATAAACCATTACAATAAGTTAATACCATCCAGAAATACCGTTAATGAAAGACTGCAAAGATTTTTATTCAGCTTATGTTTACCTGTTTTCTTTTTTCACCGACTCTGAAGGTTTAATGAAGGCATTCAGTCTGTTTGCTTTGATTCTGAGTCAGAATAAATCTTCACCGTATCTGTTTGCAGAAAGAGAACCATGTTCCAGAACATTGTGAACGCCACAGAGCCAATGACAGACGAAAAGGAGGCCACCGCTTTTGTTTCCAACAACCCCATCAGGAAGGAAATTGTCATGTATGTAGCTGATTTAGGCAGAAACACAGCTGTTGAGACCAAAAAAAAAAAGTGTTTCTAGTTTTCTCGTGCGAAGCTTGCGAAACAGCAGGACCTTGAAATTCATTAGCGTCACTAGCAGAGTGTCATCTTCCCTGTGACTGACTGACAGGTTCTCTCCTCCAGGGCCATGATGATGACAGGCTGCGACTTGTCAGCCATCACCAAACCTTGGGAGGTACAGAGCAAGGTGAGTGGGAGTGAAGTCTACAAGTAAAATAAAAAAATTAAAAAAATACAGGAAGCTTTCATCGAGCAAGTTTTAAAGTTGTTTTCTTCTCGTTGTTGTTCTACTTTTAGTCTTGCATTTATGAAAAGAAATATGCTCAATGATGTTTTGTTTGGATCAGATGATGATTGCTTTGCAAAAGTGTTCTGTTTATGAAGGGAGGTGTAGTTTGAAAAGGGTTGTAACCTTCTAGTTCACGGCTATTCAACTGGTGGCCCAGGGGCCAAATTAGGCCCACGGGTGAACTCAGTTCGGCCCACCAATAGGTTCGTTTTTAAATAAAACTGGATTTTAAACCATAAAACAAATTTACTTAGTGACAATAACTGCTGGACGTCCGGCTCCTGCGTTCTTGGCTTCCAGTAGCCGTGGCCGCCTGAGCAATTTAGTTGAATAACCCTGCTCTAGTCATGTTAGACATATGTGCAACCATTCCTTTCTTCTGTCAACCTCGACCCCCGCGTGTCGTTTTCTTTTCCCCAGGTCGCACTGATGGTCGCAGCTGAATTTTGGGAACAGGGTGATCTAGAAAGAAATGTTCTGGACCAGCAGCCAATTGTAAGAGCAGCGCTCCTCCAGTGCCTTTCTCCCTTCCTACATTTTACTTTCTTTATTGACTTGAAAACATCTCACGTGTCTCTTTCAGCCCATGATGGACAGAAACTGTTCCGAGCAGCTGCCCAAGATGCAGTGTGGTTTCATCGACTTTGTGTGCGCATTTGTGTACAAGGTAACAAACTAATGCTTAGGACCATTAAGAAGGAACATTTAAGGGAGAAAAATAACAAGAATATATAGGGATGCACGATATTATCGGCATGGTATTGGTATCGACTGATATTAGCGATAAAGTTAAATATCAGACATCAGCCATTCCATCAAAATAACTCACAGATATAAAAGGCATTGTTTATATATATATATATATATATATATATATATATATATATATATATATTATAGCCTAGGGAAAAAACATATATTGGCATATCAAATAGCCAAAAATCCAGTATCGCGCATCTCTAAAGATAGTTTAGACTAAAAAGACATCTGGTTTTTTTTAGAAGTGAGTCTGTTTTGCAATACTTTGCCTTTGTTAGGATTTAAATCCACTCACAGGTGAATAGAAGTTTCCTGAATTCATTCAGAATCAGCAGTGATCACTAAATTTTGACAGGGCGGTATCTCAACAGCAGCTTTATCCATAAAAACTCATATAAATGTCTACCATCCCTGCAGACCAGTATCAAGTGAGAACAAGTATTACTCACCTGTTTTTCTTTTATTTGTCAGGAGTTTTCCAGGTTCCACAAAGAGATTAAGCCCATGTATGATGGTCTGAACAACAACCGGGCGCACTGGAATGAGCTGGCTGAAGTATATAATGCAAAGATGAAGGCTATTGAGGATCAGAAGAAGAAACTAGAAGAGGAAGAAGCCAGGAAAGGTAAAAAAAAAATAAAAACCAAGAATGGATCATAATTTGTTGTTTTTTTAAATTGTTCAGTCAAATAGTTGAACATCACTTCTAAAATGACCAGACTAGCCCTTTAAGAGCAGACTGTATGCTAAATTAAATTTCTGTTTGTTTTTAAGCTGGTGGTGGCGATGGGAAGTCAAAGACCTGCATCATCTCTTAGGGCATCCACTGTCTGGATCTGGACTATCATGGTCTGTTTAGGACTTGCCTAGACAGCACTAGTCATCTTTGGGACATCTTTTTTTTTTTTGGGATCATTTCTTCAGTCTGGTGTCTGGTCTTTGCTACACCAGCTTAGTTTTCTCTGGTTCACTTTACAGCCCTGCAGTTTGGCTCTTGTTCCAGATGGTCCGGTTACCCTCAACTAGTTTAGCGTAGTTAGGACCGGTCTGCGTCACAGTCTGGACCACACCAGCTGATCTTGGAAGAATTTACCAAGAAGTTCTGTTGGGACTCTGCCAAGAGAAGACGTTTGGCTCCAAGTGAAGGAACGAATGAAACTTCTTCCTACGTCGGCTTTAAAGGGCGCCATGAACATTTTGCAGAAAGTAAACCATGTTAGCATAGCAACAATCTAAATGTTTATGGCGTGAGCTAACATTATGCTTTGGTAAAGTCATGGCTAATTTTGCATAAAGGCAAGTTTTTTTTTTTTTAGGATATAGTTTACATAGGCAGCGTTTGTGCAGAACACAACGTGCGCTGGCTCTGTGGGTCGCATTTAGCTGCTACCGTTTGAGCAGCGGCAAAGGAATAACATCACTTTGTTTTTGTAGTGATGGGAAACTGTTAAAGTTAATACCGAGATGTGAAGCTAATCCGTTTAGCTCCTAAAGAGGGAAAGTACGACCTGAAGTCTTGGTTAATGCTGTAACAGAACAGGGAGTGATGGAGCTTAAACCAATCAGGGAAGTGGTTTTCTCATCTATAAAAGGCACCGACAAGTTGTGCAAAGGTATATTTATTTTATTATGCAATTCATCATATTTTTGATTCTTTGGCCATTTTGTACTTGAATTTTCTTCATGGGACGAGGATTTGAGGGGAACATTGAGTGGATGCTCTGACTCTGAGAACAGATGAAATCACTTTCAGACTCGTGGAATGACCAGCTTTGGAAAACACTTTTAAAAGTGAACTTTCAGACCTTTAAAGAGGGGTTTAGTGGAAAGACTATGAACAATGAATATCTTACCTGTTGTAGATGGCTCTTTGACTGACCTCAAAATGGCAAAATACATTTAAAACATTTTGAATATTGTGAAAAAGTTAAATATTTTTTGTCAATCATTTCAGAAAGTGAAACTATATTGTATAGATTTATTACAGAGTGAAATATTTCAGGCCTTTATTTCTTGTAATTTTGATGATTATGGGAAACAAAACTCTGTGTCTCAGAAATTTAGAATATTGTGAAGAGGTTCAACACTGTAAACTCGTGGTGTCACACTCTAATCAGCTGATTAACTCCTTGACATGAGCTACAAATGTCTCATTCCTCAAGTCGAGCCGCTCCTGAACCAGAGACAGTCGGAAGCATCTTACCTGCTGAGGAGACAAAGATCTGGACTGTTGCTCAGTGGTCCAATGTCCTCTTTGCAGATTCAAGTACATTTTCATGCCATTTGGAAATCAAGGTCTCAGTCTAAGGAAAAGTGGAGAGGTCCAGAATCCACGTTGCTTTAAGTCCAGAGTGAAGTTTCCACAATCAGTGATGGTTTGTCATTTGCTGGTGTTGGTCCACTGAGTTTTCTGAAGTCCTCAGTCCAGGTAAGATGCTTCTGATGTTTCTGGTTCAGGAGCGGCTCGACTTGAGGAATGCAACATTTGTAGCCCATGTCCGTGCATGGTGCATTATTGGCATGAGTTTCCATTATAGAACTTTATCACAATGTTTTAATTTTCTGAGACACTGAGTTGGTTTTTCCTTATCTGTAAGCAATAATCATCAAAATGACAAGTAATGGTCTTGAAATATTTCACTCTATGTGCAATGAATCTATGTAATACATGATTCACTTTCTGAAGTGCTTGTCCAAAAATATTGAACTTTTTCACGATGTTCTATTTTTTTTTTAGATGCACCTGTGGTTTAGTTTTAGCCAGATTGACGAGCTAATGGCTAGTCCAAATGGAGCCAAGACAAAAGTGGATTGTTGCCATCATATACAGCACCAACCTCTAAAGTTTTGTAGTAAAACTACAGTAGTTTGTAAAGCTTTACATTGTCATTACTTTCTGTATTACACAGTTTGAATGTAATTATGTGGTTATTTGCTAGAAGAAATGGCGACGACAGCAGCTAGCTGTAGCACTTCCAGCAGAAATATATTTCTGACAGAATAACTGTGTAATGTGAAATGAACTGTGGTGTAAAAAAAAAAAAATCATAAAATATCATTAGCATGAATATAATTGTTTTGACAGAAGTTTTATAATGGCAGCAGTCCGTTGTGATCCTAGCCCCGCTAAGACTAGCCATTAGCTTGTCAATCCAGTCAAAATCCAACTTTATTTTTCTCTGAGATCTAAAAAGTTATCTACAGCAGTTAAGATATTAATTAGTCATAGCCTTTTGGCAGAACCTCCGTTCAGAAGATCTGAACCATTTCATTTGGGTGTTTTAGCTGATAAATGGTGTAACGTTTAGTGTTTAGCTCAAACACACAGCTCCATTTTAATTCCCATCTCCTTTCTTGAAAGTACTTGTATATAGTTTGTTACATAGAAAAAAAGATGTACTTTATAGCTGCAACCTAAAAAAAAAACTTTGACGGCTGCGAGAGCAACTTTTGCTCCTTTTTAGCAGGCAAGAGTCAAACGGTTCAGCAGATCTACCTCTCCTGTAAGAAGCTTTAACAAGATTTGATTGCCTGCCAGTGTTTAAGATCCACACAGCTTTAGACTTTAAATACCCTTCTTACAGAGGAGGTAAATGAGGCTAACAGAGCCTTATGGTATGTATGTGCAAGACGAGCAAGTGTTTGCAAAGACAACTGTTGTTTCATTGATTGTACAAAGGAATGGGTGAAGTTGTCCGCTTCTCTCGCTGACCAACTTGGTGTAAATCGATTTCTTGTTTTGTAAATCGCACGATCTGGTCAAGTATGTGAGCTTACAGTGCAACATCGGGAGCACCTTCAGACCCTTTGGGGTAAAAGCAACTTCCTGTTACGCAACGTAGTCGCCTCTAATCAATGGGGCATCAATCAAAGGCATTTAATCCTATCAGCAAGGCTTTGGGTCTACATGGAAGCTCCTTGTCTGCTGCCTGAGGTGAAGCAAGGAGCTGTTGTAATCACTGGAGACAAACTGCAAAAAAAAAACAACCTTTGATTTGTTCGTGATTCTACCATGAGTTTCCAGCGATAACAAAGGCTTCTCCTTTTGGATGAACTGTAATGCACTGTATCTATGTCACTGAGACATTAGAAAAGTGTCATTTGTTGTATGAAATGACTATTTATATGTCGCAAGATGTAATATCTGTAAGTGTAGGAAGTCACGGAGGTGTAAAAATAAAAAGTAACGCTTTTTCTCATTATGAAAATCGTCTGGCTTTGATCAGGAATTTACGCTCACGCACACGAGAGTTGGACGGAGGGGTGATCTCCAAGCAGCCGAAGCTTAGCTGCGGCAGTGCTCCATGTATCGTGCAGGATCTTGGAGGCTCCAAAGCTGGATGAGCCTCGGGGGGTGGGAAAGAGGATCAGTGGATTGATTCTCATCCCTGCTCGATCCAGTGCTGTCTGTGCTCCTCGGGGGGGAAATGGTTTTCAGTATTTTCAGCATACAGTTGCTGCATACAGTAAGCTGGAGCTTCAATGGTTTTGTGTCACCGTTTTAACAAAATTAAGACACAATCTGTAACATTTTAAAGTGATAATCCTGCAGAAGGGAAATCCAGAAAATGATTAATGTTTAGAAAAAGCTACGGATATTTGACGGAGCAAGCCCTAAATTTGCCAATGATGGATGAATTAGCAACTGGTTCACCGTTTCATCGTGAACCTTCGGTTCTCGAACAATTCAGGGTTCGGCATGGCCAAGAGCTTCTCTTCTTAAGTCTCATTTTTGTTTTTTTCTGCTGATAGAAAGCCAGTTTTACATCCAGCAGCATAAAGGACAATTAGTCACTGTATAAAAAAAATATATAAGTGATGTCACAAGTTTGGAGACTAAGACTGGGCCTGCAAGCGTTTAAATCTGATTTGGTTCAATGGTATCTGAGAAGCAAAGCCAACCCACAAAACTACGAGGGCATTCACACCAGCCCTGTTTAGTCCCCTTTAATTGAACTCTAGTTCATTTGCCGAAAAAATGCAACAAATGTTCAAAATTTTGAGTTGTTTTCACACCTGATAGTCTGGTAGACTCAGTTCGGTTGGGGACCAATAACTTTTAGTTTACATTTGAGCTGTTGCGTTAGCATTCACACTGCACTGTGCAGTCGAGCAAACCTGTTCCCCCACTCGCCTGTGATGGCGCTGCACCAAGAACTACTGAAAGAAACGACACAAAAACCTCTGAAGAAGACACTTCTTCTTCTGGAAATAAAAACAAAAACGGAGTGGCATAAAGTTTTAGTGGTTTTAGGAGTTCGATTTTGTCATTTTTCAACAATGGACTCAACATTCTCCATGGTCTTCAGCTTCATCTTCCACTCATGCTGTTTTTCACGCAAGGCAAGCTGACGGCTCCATATGAGGTAAGAGAAATGTGTGTTTGTTTACCCTGCTTACTCCACTTCCTGCTTGTGTAGCGGGGCCCAGTCTGTTTACATTCACACTGTACTTGAACCGCGCTCGAGTTTTCTTCTACCGGATCGAGACCAAGGTTTTAGCCCGGGCCAGAGTTTGCCTTTTTGTTCCATGACAGAGATCGATGGCGAGTTCACACCTCCCCAAACGATCCGGACTTCCTAGGCAAACGGGCTAGAGTTCGGAACAACAGGGCTGGGGTGAATGCACCCTTGGTCCCCATTCGAACCGAGTCTACAGGACTATCAGGTGTGAAACAACCTAAAATGATCTATTGCTAACAGTTTGGTCCCAAACACCCACAGATGTTTATTATCCACATATTTTGGTGACGAAAGCATCAACTTAAGATTAAGCATGGGGGGTGATGTTTTTCAGGGAGTTTATCGTCTTAAATGTGGGCGGAAACCAAACTTTATAATTGTTCTTGCAATTTGAGACGAGTTCAAAACTGGATTTTTGTTTGGAATTTTTATGCGAGAAACCAGATGTTGACAGGGCGACTGATAACCTGTAGATGTACTTTATTTTTACTACAACAATTTTAGTGCTCAGAGTACCACAACCACCTGTTAGTCACACCCTAAATTAGAAAGTCTAAAAAGACAAGAAAGACAACAAGCCAATGAAGCGGTCCACTCTGTCCTCGAACTGAGACACTAATCCTCCCAAGTTGTCTTTTTACTCGACAAAAATCATCTTGGAGCTCAAATTGTTTCTATGGCTTTTTTAATTTTTACTGCTCAGAAACAGTTTGGAAACTTTTTTGACACCGATTTTGGTTTTGAAGAACCAGGAAAAAAAAATCCTTCCGACTTTCCCGTGAAGGTTTTGCTATGGAACAGAACCGAGCGCTGCAACCTTCGAATCTAAATCTTTAACTTTTTGAAGTCAAATGAAAGTTTGGATTCGCCTTTCAAGTAATCCTATAAGGAGTTCTCTCTGAAGCCTTTTGTTTATACATACCTCAACTTGTCCCCCGCTGTTCCTTTTAAGAGTCATTAGTTATCACATTATAAAAAGATAAATTCATTTTTAAAAAGTCTTTGCTCCCGTTTGATCGCTGTACTCCCACACTGTGGATTGTCACTTGTTTATTCTTCAGAATGGTAGGCAGCTGCTTAAATAAGTTCATGGCTTCTTATTTATGAAACAAAAGTAAGTAGCTTTGAAATGTTCCTTACCTTCCTTTTTTTTAAGAATGACTGAATAAGCAGAATTCTTAAAAGCTCTGAAACCATGAAGAAAAACAAATAAGAGCTCTCAATTTATTGTTTTTCCTCTCAAACTAAAAAGCAAAAGATGACCTGTTAACGTCCAAAAAAAGCCTAGTTAGCTTTGAATTTGGTGAGATCCACCAATGCATTTGTGAACCTTTTAAAACAGATTTTGAGCACATACTGTGATTTTTAAGGGGCATCTTTTATAATTAGCATTAAATTAAAAGTTAAAGAATATCTAAAGTGACCAACTTTCACACTGAAGCACAAAAATATAACAAAGCTGTTTCATTCTGAATCAAAGCAGCCAGCTTTCAACCATCCCAAGAGCCACGCTGCCTAAAACTACTTTCAATTATTCTCGTCGTGACAGTGGGGAAACTCAAACCCAGATGACGGAAATGCAAACAGAAGACTGACAAGCAGAGGCAGGATAAACATTATGTTTATTTCATGCACACAAGACCCAAATAGAACATATTTAATGTCTGCGAGACACAAAAGGAAGTGTAGTCACAGCAGGGTTGCGGCAGATACCAGCAGATTCAAAGAAACATGTCTTCAAAGTACTCATCAAACTCTTCCTCCCTAAACAGATAAAACAACCAAAACACAGAAATGTCAGTTCCTGTCATGCTCAGTGCTGACGTAAACAACTGACTGGAGGGTCGTGATTAACTTGTGACTTGTAATGATGTTAACAACCGGCGTCGATACGAAAACAGTAAAAAGCTGCAATTAATTTGGCTTGGAGACGTTTTTAGAAAGCAAACGGACATCCTAAAAGTAGGGATGCACGATATTGGAATTTTAGCAGATATCCGATATGTTAAAACTGATTTGGCCGATAACCGATACAAATACCGAATTATTATTATTTTTTTCCCTAGATCTACTTACAGAGACTACATAGCTTCCTCTGCTGTGAAATTAAAATACATTATTCTGCATGATCTTTGTCACTTTGGCCTGTTACCAAATGCAGATGCCAAAAAGGGGGCTGAAAATGATGCAACACTTCAACTTGGATTTTGTTTAATGTCAAATGTATTCATGATATTTACTCTCTCTAACACAATGACAACACTCAAACAGTGCAAATTTGTACATTTTCACAAATCTAAACTCAACGGCGCTGCAGGCATCCTTGTCACTGGGATGTCATACAAAAACCGTGCCTTTAAAAAAAAAATATATATATATATATAAATATATATAAATATATATGTGAGTGTGTAAGAGAGAGAGAGAGAGAGAGAGATATATAGAGAGAGAGATATATAGAGAGAGAGATATATATATATATAGAGAGAGAGATATAGAGAGAGAGAGATATAGAGAGAGAGAGATATATCAGTGTTATTTTGATGGACTGAACAATGTTCAATATTTAACTTTATCGTTAATATCGGCTGATACCGATACCATGTCGATAATATCGTGCATCCCTGGTTAAAGGTTTAGTGGCTTTGATTTCTTGACATGGCTTTGTAGCTGGTCCACATACGGTGCTATTCTCATGCGTGCTAATGTAGTTAGCGTGCACAGTTTGTTATGGTTTTGTATGAGTTTTATCTGTTAACCTCACCTTGACTTTTCCTCCACTGCAGGGGCGGGTCCTCGCCAGTGGTCGGCTTCTGATTGGCCATCTGGCTCGCTCCCAGCTTCACTGTCTGTTAAAGTGTCACAAAGTTTTTAATCACAACTTAAAGAACGGAAAACTTTGGTCAACGTGTAACAATTTTCCACTATTATTAGATTTCTGTTTAGGGTGCAAATTGCGAATTTATCTTTTTGGTTTTGATTTGGTTGGGACGTTGTTGAGGAACAGAAACCTGCTGCTATTAACATTCCAATCAAAACCTTGAAAAGTCAATAGGCTTGAATGTATTTCACCACAACACAGCCTTTACCTAACCTTAAACAGACTAAAAAACTTGTTTTGATAAAGATTCTAGTACAAAATGAACAGTTTCCATAGCAGCAGCTTTTCACCAGCACCTTTTAGTTCACATATAAAGGTGTAACGAAGTGGTGCAGACATCCTATGTGAAGGGAACAAACTTGTTGCTTGGTAGTTTGGTATCATTGTCTGCACAACACTGAACATGGAGCAGACAAATCAAATACAAAAAAAAACTGCCAGAGGAGCTCAGAAATTAAATTTAAGATATTCATGTTAAAGATAAAGACAAGAAGACCATCTTCAAGCAGCTTCGTGGTCCTGTGACCACAGCTGCCAATATTATTGAAAGGTATAAGATTTACTGTAGCCAATCTCCCAAGATATGGACGCAAGAGCAAATGCAACTCCAGGTTGATCAAACAGATAGTGTGGTTGGTAAAAAAAAAATTAAAAAAATCCAAGGAAGTCATTTAAAACCATTCAAACTGAACTCCAAGATCAAAACATAGATTTCTGATCTCATCAGTCACATTTTGAATCATAATAAGCTCGATGGAAGAAGACCGAGAAGAGCTCCACTGTTACCAGAAAAACACAGAAAAGCTGCTTGTTAACAAGCCCCAAGGCTTTTGAGACTAATGAGGAAAAACTGGAACTTTTTGGACAGCCACATCGGTTGTGTCGTGTGTGGGATTTTTTTATTTTGTGGAAAGAGAGCAACAAATGTTTCTGTGCCTATATGGAGAGTGTGTGCGTAGGTTTGCTTTGTTTTTTTATTCTTTTTTTTTTTTTTTTGAATAGTGTTTCCAAGTGCAAATCTATAAAACACCTTACATTTGGGGTCAGTAAACTTCTTCAGAATAAAACTAGATCACATGGTTTAAAAAGATGAAATATTGGGGCAGCTTCACTTTGTATGCTAATTTTTTAAGCTCCGCGAGAATATTTGCATTTAAACTCCATAAAAACCGCTTCAAATACACGTGAGTGGATCAAAAATAGTGCAGTGTGTTTGTGTACGACTCTTACTGCATGCTGAGCTAAATGACATAACATTTACACAAGGGCCAATTGCTTTTGTGTACACCTTTACCCGCCCACCCGCTCATCCGTCAAGATCTTGGAATAAACAAAACAGGCACACGGGGGCAACGAAAGACTTCATTTTGTGCTGCTCACAACAAACCGAAAAAGCAAAGAATATTTAAAAAAAGCTGAGATAAAAAGCCAACTGAGAGGAAACGGGCCTGCTGTCAGCCTATTAGCATTAACAGCAGGGTTAATGTGTGTGTTTCCAGTGAGAGCTGTCAAGAGTTTTCACTCGAAAAGTTTGGAGTACCGCAACCGAAAGGTCAGGGAGCAGACTGAGCTGTTCAATGCGTGTGTGTGTTTGTGTGTGTGTGAGCATCAGTTGTGTTACCTTTGTCCGAGTTTTCCGACTCTGATTCTGAGCTGCTGGAAGAGACGGTATGACCTGCGGAGAACAATCGCATTTTCAAAACGAGTGTTTTGGGAGAATCGTTTCATTTCTGGGAATAAAAATGTCCACAAAGCTCTTTCCACAGGGCTGTCCCATCTGATCTGATTACAGCCTTAAAGGATGATATATCTGACTTGGACAGGCGAGGAGAGGGACTTTACCTTTCCGCTTCTTGTGTTTGTGTTTCTTAGAATGAGACGATGATCTCTTCCTCTTTTTCCTCCTCTTCTTCTGTGGCTCCTTGTTCTCCGCTGATATCATTGTTTTCGTTTTTACTTTTACCTCCTTTCTCCTTAAAATAATGATGATAATTTTAAAAAATGTATTTGAGATCAAAATCACACACTTTAACACCAAAATGAGCCTGAAGTTGGCTTCTTACTTGTGATGGTAGTTGAGTTTGAACGAGCATTCAGGGCACAGTCCTAGAACAGAAGAAAACGTATATCATTACTTCTGGGATGCTGTTCAAATATTTTCAAGGTTATAAATATATTGTAAAAAACAAAACAAAAAAAAAACATAAATTACCGGTGTCTGTAGTCTAATCATAATAAAATATTTCAGGGGGTGAAAAGGTGCAGTTTGCTTTAAATTTTTGGCCTTCTTAAACTCTTGAAGCATTAGTCTTACATCATATACAGATATACGTATGTGGAGACATTTTTCTTGTTGTTCGTAAAAAGCCCATTACATTTAGTAGGGAATAATAATTAATATCTTACCTGTTGTAGATAGCTTCCGGAACACTCAGTTTGGCAAACTTGAGTTTAATTCAGACCAATTTATTGGGCTTTAGAGTATTCTGAACAAAATTGGAAATATTATGGTACTCCTGTTGAAAGTGCCCCCAGGCTAAACCAGAAGTGCTACAGTCAGCTGCTGCTGCCACTCTGAGAAGGTAACAATATATGCAAAACTAACAGTAATGTCAACATTTATGAAAATGGTTTTTCTATGATTTGTTCTTAAAAACTTGGCAATGAATTTGCTTCAAGATGGAAACCACACACGGTGGTTTTGACCCTGCTCAGACTAGCCATTAGCTCATCATTGTGGTCAAAATTAAACTCCATTTACCAAAACCAAGGTTGTTCAAAGAAAGATATATAAACAGGTAATGTATTATTTGTTCATAACATTTTACAGACTAGTTGAACTATCTTTTTAAAGCATGGCTACGTCATTGTGTTATCTTTGTATTTCAACATATTTAACAATTCAACCAGTGGGGGTTGCCAAGTCTTGTTTCTTTACTGTTAAAATTGTGTTTAAAAAGAGCTAAACCTGGAACATCTTTGGGTCGAAACAAATCACTGTGTCTAGAAGTGACCTGTCACTTTAGCTTGTTAAAATAATCTGTCATTCCCTACTTAACTGACTTAGCTTTGACTCGTGAATCCTTAAATTACTGTAATTTTAACATGATTCTCTGCAGTATGACACAAAAAAGAGTGTAATTACGAGTTGGGTGTCAGCCTGGTGCATTTCCACAGATATATAATTATGTTCGCACATGCTCAATAAATCTTTAAAAAAAAAATATATATATATATATATATATTATCTTACTGAGTTTGACCAGAGCGTTCCTCTTCTCTCCATGTTCAACATAGGCAAAATTGACCTCCCAGCTTTTTAGTCCTTCTTCTTTTTCACACCGTTTGTTTCCACACTGGAACTGACCTGAAAGACAAGAAAGTCCACATCACGCACACAAGCCTTTAAAGAAGACATAGGGAAACGTATGGCCCAAGGGCTAAAAGTGGCCCTTGGGCAATCTCCACCTGGCCCCCAATTTCCTTAAGTGAAAAGCAAACAACGTTTTAAAAAGTTGATGAAAGCCTACATGCTACCAATGAAACTTAAGGAAGTCTATAAAGCATCTTACTTGAAAAACTGTGACTTGTGGATATTAAACTCCTGTACCAGCTGCTCAAAAGAGGCAAATCTACCATCAACATAGAGGTCACACAGTGAATGCACTCCCCTCAAGACCCAGGTGTCAAAAGCTGCATCAGCTACTGAGGGAGTAAACGTGATTATTTGACACAGGTGCCAGAAACAGTAACTCTGTAGAGTTAAATACCCTCCAGAACTGATTCCAAATCTTAACCGCCCAGATCACAACTAGGTTAGAAGTGTAGGTTGATGCGGACTGTTTAAAGGCAGCCAAGAGCAGAGTAATGCAGAGGGAGAACTGGATCTAATTGAGGCCCTTTCCAAGGCCACACAACTAGGAGAAGGGGTATCCTTACCCAACCAAAATAGAAGAGCTCTGATATTAGCTGCCCAATAATAGTGAATGAAGGTAGGAAGCAACATGCCTGCAAGCCTGAGGGGCAGGTGCACGATCCTCTTGGCAACCCGTGGATGCTTTTTATTCCAAATAAACACTGATAGCTGGCTGTTCAGATTGGTGAAGAATGATTTCGTAAGTCAGATTAGCAGATTCAGAAATAGGTATAGATATTATGGTAGAATATTAATTTTTACAGAGTTTATTCTACCCCCCAGAGTGTGAGGTAGGGACTGCCATCTAGCAATGTACTGCTTAAAGTTCTTATGATCTCGAATTACCCAAATGCCAAGGTGTTTAAAGTTTTTTTTTTTTTAACTAATTTTGAAAGATACAGTGTCTAAGATTTTCTTTTCTATAGAGGTCACAGGCATCACTTTGCTCTTTTGAATGTTAACCTTATAGCCAGATATTTTCCCAAATTTTTTGAAGCAAAATAAGTAATTCAGGATTGCTGGTAAAAGGGTCTGATACATACAAAAGCATGTCATCCGCATATAAAGAAACTTTGTGCTCTGGACCTAATCGATTCATCCCCTTAATGTTGGAGTTTTACCGTAAAGCTACAACTAATGGTTCTATAAAATAAAAACCTTTGGATAAGGATAAGCTAAAACTGTTTTTAAGTCGTTGCGTTTCCAGAAATAGACTGAACCTTAAAGACTCCAAAAAGCAAACATATGTTTGTTTGTTTTGCATATGTAAGCTAATATATATACTGTACTGTCACAAGAGCCAGTTTACAGAAAGTATCTTATATTACTAAATACTATTGGGGAGATATATTTTTATTAAGCATGCTAACTATGCTACAAGAAGAAAAAGCTTGGAAAAAAAAAAGTCTTCCAGATTATCTGTCTTTAAGAAAATGCATGTGCCAGTTCTCGTGTCCCTTCACTTGCTTTAAATATTTTGATGTGGACCTCTGGGGAAAATAATGTTGCTCTCTCCTGATTTATAGTAAACTCAAAAATGTTTTGTTCTACATTTGTTACACCGACGGACCTTTTTTCACTGATTGAGTAATAAGACTGCAAACAGGGAACAGATTAGACAGAAAACATGGAAACAGCAAAGAGCAATGTAGACAACTGAGCAGAAACAGCGATAAAACTTTTATTATAGGAGTAGGAATTTCAGAACAAAACTTTTCTTCACCCTATCTCCACTCCCTTTCTTTATCAACACTGCTTCCCTCATCTCCTTTTCTTCAACCTGCTTCATGCCCCGAGGCCACCCTCTAGCCGCTGCTCAGCCTGCCTATTATCCCTAGAGGAGCTTAAGGTTGCACTGATCTGGTCTCCGGGGTTCCTCCAGATTGTAGCAGAATGAGGCAAGTGCGTCAGAGCACTTCATTCTTGGCTCAGAGATAGGAAATCCTCTTCTGTGAAAGAAAAGTGATACCTCCCCTCACCTGTCGGTAATCAAGACGCTTTCAAAATCAGGTGAGGTGGCCGTCATGGCTTCGAGCCACTTGAGCTATAAGACAGACTTGGTCTTCACGTGCGGGACTTAACTTCAATGACGTCGGTTTAAAAAGACGTCTGGCTCCAGTCCCAGGTTGTAACAACAATCACAGGATTTGTCAGTTAGTGTGTGGCACTATATTCTTTTACAGAACAACCAAATATGGCGTCAGGAAGGAAATGAACTAGGTACACTCGATACAATGACTTCCTAGAATCAAATACTTTTGTTAGCTTTCCAAAAACAATAAATTGTACTTTTCTGAGAATTTACTGATCATTTGAAGAGTTCATAGATTAGGAACCTAGAAGTACAACTTCAAAGATTTAAATTGGGAAAACTGAGGCTGAACAATTCTAGGCAAAATCAATAATTTTACCTTTACATGATGATCAGTGCATTAAGTCCGAGGTCTTTAAAGTTCTCTAACTCGAACTGATGAGAACATCTGCTCTAAAGCTCCTATGAATCCAGACTTAACTTTTTTTACTCTTTTCTGCAAAAGATTCAACATCATGCTTAAAAATAAGTAATGTATTTTTTGCTGTATAAGTCGCACCTTTTTGCATAAACTTGCAAGTCCTGTGACTTATACACCGAAGCAACTTTATTTGCGTTTCCCCCCCCATATTTATAACCCAATTTTTGGCTGAGATCTGATGATTTCATTCATTCTGGCATGGAAAATATTGAACACTACCATTTTCAGCCACTAGAGGGCCCTCGAGTAATATGGTAAGCCAAGTGTCTCATTAATAGGTAAAAGTGACTATTAATGAGACAGTTGGCTTGCCATATAAGACACCTTTGTCTTGCTCTGGAACTCCTGCAGCAAACGTCGGATCAGCTGCATTTCACCGCGCCGCCCAGGAGAAATGCAGCTGATTTGACCATTAAAGTGCATTTATTAAGGAAAAGTTCAACTGAGACACACCTTTGCTATAATTTTGAGCAAACAAATAAATATTTTTAAGTGGTAATCTTGTTCAATTCTTGTTAAAGTCCTCCCATGCATGCCATTTGGCAGCCAATTGATTTTTGGCGCAACACCACCCCATGTTTCCAGGTGGTCAGCAGTGATGCATAACAAACGTGATGCGTCAGCAGTAACACATAATAGATGCAACTTATATGGCAAAGCGACTTATTTATGGTGTTTGGGTTTTTTTTCCCCACTTTATTGGACATATTTGGACTGATGCGACTTACACAGCGGTGTGACGTATATGGCGGAAAATACGGTGCCTAGATATAAATATATGTAAAAACTTTATGCACCAAAACCATTAGAAGTTTAAAACCAGATGGTTTCATGGTTTGCTTTTGTGGTCAGAGCATTACGGACCAAGTAACGGTCAATGTTTCGTATTTTAGCCTGGATGTCCATTTGTTCAAATTATATAAAACAATAGTTGTTGTCTACAGCCAATAGGTTTCCTAATGATGTGTTAGAAACCAAAACAAATTGGACTTTCTTGGCACAAACCATCTGGTAGATGTTGGGATGTTTTCATGGAACTTCATGTTTTGTTGTCATTTTTAGCCAAGGCACGCTTGTAATTGAGATTTTTAATTTTAATTAGTTTCTCCAGGTAAAATAACGGGCTAATAATAAAAACTATAATGAAACATTGGCAAATGTTCACAACGGTGACACAAATGTCAGGACAACTTTGGTTTGTCAATGGTAATGTGGATAAATCAGGGTCCAAAGCCCAACTAGACCCCCTATATTATGTCCCACATTTATTTCAACCACAACACATTTTCTTTGAGTTATGTGAAATAAAGACACAAATATCCGTGTATTTAAATTAAATGTGTCATTTTTCAAGCCATAGTTCACATTTAAAACCTCCCTTATGACTAAAGAACCAACTAAGAAGGTAACACAGTTCTATATCTGCAACTTATTCACCTTAGTTCTTGTTTAGATTATAAAACTTTGAAGGATTTATGTGTCATTTTTCCACAGTTGAAGCATCTTAATCGCTTGTCTCCATTAAGACGAACCAAGGCTTTGGCCACCAAATAGTCATGCGCTCATTCTTTGAGTGAAACATTGTGTTTTAGATTCTTGGTTAAATTAAGCTTCTTTTAGCTTTAGCAACAGTTTGGATTTTACCTCAAATAAATTTTTGGGTGGCATCTTAATGCTTTTAGACAACTTCAAAATAAAAAAAAATGATAGTGAAGGAAACCTCATTAAAAGGTTTTTAGCCCTGAACAAAGTGACTCAGGACAATGTGATCCTGTCAGCATCAGATTTATGACCTGTATTACTCCCATCAATTAGCAGTTCTACCATCATTTATAACTCTAATATAAATATAGACAAATAGTTAAAAAACACTTCTAATGTAGGCACATACACCTCTGCTTTTATGGTTAAAAAATGACTGCAAAGACCTTGATGCTGCAACACAAGTGTCCTTGAAAATGGTTTTAAATCCCATCAATGTTAAAGACGAGCAGTCCGGTGTCTAAAATGAAAGAATGCGATTTATTTAGAGGTTAGAACGGAGCGAGTCTGACCCCCCTGGAGCTACACACAACCTCAACCCTGGCAGACTGGGATTAATACAAATCTGTGTCTAGGCAATTTCTTTGACAAAATAAATGCCAAAAACTAAATATAATCAAGGTCAGAATTGCTCCTCTATTTCTGACAGTTTTCAGCCTCCGGGCGATACAATGTCTCGTATAAAAACTAATATGTGCTGCTTAAGTGACTTCTGCTGGGTGGGTTTTTTAAACAAGGCCACAAAGGGCACTTCTGCTTTACATAACAGGCTCCTTGCTAGGTCTCTGCTGAACAATAAAAATAAAATAAAAAACTAGATTGCATTTCCTGCGAAAATGCAGTGTGAATGTTTATTGCTAAAGAACTTGATGAAAAACAGCTGAAATTAGCAACAAC